ACTAGATTGCTGATACACCTGACCCTCTCTCCAGATTAGATCAGATTAGACCAGACTTGCTAGACTAGACAAGGCTTGCCTTATCACCAATTAGATTATGAACTCGATATTTCTGACAAAGAGTTCATAAAAGATAAATTTGGCCCTGTTAACAGCCTTTTCCAGTGCGCATTACTTGGCCCAATTTGTTTTCATCTTTTGGAACCGAAGGTACCGTTCTTGTATTTCTGTAACCGTGAGTGATGTTACTTTTTCAGGCCGTGGAGCAACAGATCAAAAGTTTTGGTCAAACGCCTTCGCAGTTGTTACATGAACCACATGTTCCACGGATTCCGCCAGAAACTCCGGTATGTGACTATTCTATTTTATAATTTATTTCTTTATTTTCCTTACTGCTCCAGCGCTCTGTGTTTGAAATCTACGTGTGAAAGAAAGAGAAAATCACCACTTGGAGTGCTAGATATGCGTGTCGTTCAAAGTCTTTTCAAGAGAAGAGATTAATCTTTTAAGTTTGGGTTTCAATAACTTTTTGTGTTTATTTATTTTTTTTTTAGATTACGGAAGAAGAGGAGCCTTTTAAAAGTACGTGTACGCATCATTGTTGCATCTTTGAATATGGAACTGGGTCTATGAATTGTAACTTCTTCGGTTACATTCATTAAATCTGTAAACCAGAGTAGCATCAAACCATGTGTGATTGTCCAACTGGTTGCCATGTGAACTTTAATATATTGGACTCTCTTTGTTACAATGCAATGCGCCGAATGTTCTATTCCTCCAGTGACGTTTAAAAGCTCGGAATAAAACTACGCTAGTGTGTGATGATGTTCGTTTTATTTTCCATACAGGTATATATTTAACCTTCAAAGTTACGTCTGATGTCCCTGTGACTCATGTTGCCGCTAACACCGACTCCACCGTCCCTTCCCCTGCTGTCGTGACAATCAGTTGCAACCAGTGTTTCTCGGTCAACAAGTGGTTTACATCAGGTAAGTGGAAGGGGAGTAGAAAGCTGATAATTCCATATTGCCTAGCCTCACAGAAATTAAACTTTTCCCTGAGCAGCTTCAATTGACCCGACAATGATACTCATTGCGCAACGAGACTGACTCGCTTAGTCATCGAAGTTATCTCACTGCCTCAAGCTGGAAGTGAAAAGGAGTATTTCACTCTTCCCGGATCGCATGGTAACCTCTCTCTCCCCCCTCTTCCCCGGTGTTTCGCTAAGTTTCTTCGGCAGTTCTTTGGTTCCCAATCACTCTCCTGAGTGGGGAGAAGCACCGGGTGAGTGCCTTCCTTTCCTCTGTTATAAATAGAAGTTGGATTTGGTTCTGAGGTTTTACAGCTGGCTATCGACACAGAGCCAACCCACATGACATGTTCTTATTATGCGACGACCCAGTGAATTTAGAGTATTTGCTGATGAAAGTGCATTGTTAAACGAATCATTAAGGTTTGACCTAAACGAGGTGTAACTAGGTGGAGTTCTTTTGTGAAATATTTGAAGCTGACCAAAAGCGAGCAGCGAGCAGCGAGCAGCGAGGAACTGATTTGAATATCGGTAAGAGCCGGAATACGATGAAGTAGTATTCCTTCTACTTATTATATATTTTGAAAGTTAAGTGGTCCAAAGTAATCTTGCCTTGTAAATGTGTTCTCTTTAGCAGACCCAAAGCAAAGTCTTCGAGGAGTTCAAGTTGAGCAAGATCCCATGTTAGGTGGGTAATCAAACTCTGTTTTCCATTTTGCGAGACCTTTTCAAATAATATTCTACTTTTCTTTTGCAGCAACAAACGCTGGACGCCAGAAGCGTCAACTCGGTGAACCCTTAGATCAGTCTGTCACACCGTGCGCCTGCTGCTTCGTGGTGACCGCTGACAACAAATACATCATGGCTTGCGGCTATTGGGATAACAGTTTTAAGTGTTTTTCGGCGGATGGTGGTACGTTTTAGTTACTTTCCAAACTAAATTTAACTTACGAAATATAAATGAAATATGAAGAAAACAGTAAGATTCTTTCCCTGTTACATGCTCACGGCATCGAGATGTCTGCAAAATTGGAGCTGCCCGTATCTTAGGATTTTCTCGTCATACATTTTGTGTCTCCGTTCCACAGGAAAATTAACGCAGTGTGTGTTTGGCCACTGGGATGTGGTGACGTGCTTGGCCTACTCACGTCACGTGGGGCTGATAGGCGGAGATGCACTTGTTGTATCGGGCTCGCGTGATGCTACAGTGTTGGTTTGGCGATGGAGTGAAAAATTGCAGAGAGTAGCAGCAACTGACCGCGAAGAAGGTGGGTGCTTGCTTTGAAATAATTTGTTTCGTTTCAAAATCGTTTTATAGTTTGTTTTATATATGTCATCAATCTGACGTTCCTATAAGTCCCAAGCACCCTCTTCATATGTAGCCTAAGGAAGGGAGAGTCGTTGGCTGATTAGAAGCCATAGGTGTTTTTTTTTTAGGGAATTAGCTGCTCCTTCACTTAAGTAAAGTTGAGGGATATTATACAAAGTATATGAAGGCAAGAGAAAATAAAAAAAAAAGAGGAAACAGATTCCTGTTTCTGTCTTAAACTGAAAAAAAAACCCTCGGGGTGACTCGACTTATCACAATCGATGCGAAGATTTCCTTCTTCGTCCTCCTTTTTCTCCTGATACAGTATTTTTCTGTAATAAAACATTTGGCAAAAAAAAAAGAGATTGAGTAGAGTCATCATTGGATGGCTCCTTAGAAAATGTTGAAAAATATTTTCATGGCAAGAATTTAGTGAGGACTCGGGTGCTTTTTCTCTGTTTAACTCAGTAAATCACATGTTGGTTATCTCTCCGCAGGCGACAACCCCTCTCCACTGGCTATTCTCACGGGTCACGAGCAGCCAGTGGTTTGTGTAGATGTCAATGCTTCTCTCGGCCTTGTGGTCAGCGGTTCGCAAGGTACGTTTCCAAGCAACAAGCTGATTGTCGAAGAAGTGCCTTCGCCCGAATGACATCCATAGGCATATTCTCTACACTTTACTCCATTTATTTTGTATGGTACTAACTAGCAGAACTTGTTAAAAATCAGAACTTCTTAAGCTGGCGATCATTTCCTTTGTCCTAGTGACTTCAATTTTTGTTTTAGTAAAGATACTGTTAGGAGAAATTAGATGCTCGTTACTTTTGAGGTGAAAGGTTAACCAGAGTATTAAATGTTATGTTTCTCTTTTTCTGTCAGAGGGACCTTGTCTTTTGCACACCACGGCGGGGAATCTCTTGAGAACGCTGCGAGGGCCTGGAGACTGCGTCAGACCGAGGCTGTTGAAACTGAGCCGCGATGGTTTGGTGGTAGTGAACTACACAGACGGCACAGGTCATCTGGCGGTGTTTACCATCAACGGCCGGCTTCTAAGCGACAAAAAACTGGATGATCAGATGCTGGTATGTTATCGCAGTTACCAAAAGCATTATGGGGGAGGTAATGGGTGAAGTTTATGGTTTTCGCACCCGGGTTCCTATTTTAAGCTTTTGGCTTATTTAACATCAAATCCATAAATGGGCTTGTTTTGGTGTTTCGGCGAATTCTCATACATCATCACAGTAATAGGAAAATTTTAGCTGGATAAGTTAGTAATACTCAGGGGATGTTCTCCACCCAAACCTTCCCTAACTTATCTTTTTAAACCAACCACGTTTCCATAGAAGAAAGTGGTTAATCTGTTCATGTTTTCTTTCTTAACCAAAGGCACTGGCTCTCAATAAAGACGGTAATTTCTTCGTGACTGGAGGATTCAGCCGATATCTGAGGTTGTGGCGAACTCATGACTTGTGCCTTCTTCACACCTATCCGCCATGCGACGGCAGCATTAGAGCTCTAACCATCTCTACTGACCAGAGGTACGTCACACGCAACGTAGACTATCGTTAAGAGCTTGCGATTGTTCACCGAGCCGCTCTACTTTATTTTTGTCTCTCATCTACCGTCTCAAAAGACTCCTCTCCCTCCCCTACCTTGTGCTGCTTTTGAAATCTAGGATTGCGGCCAAACTTTTCACGAAGAAATAATTTGCGCTCGTTCCATTCATGTCTCACTCAAAGAATTATGTGACTGACAACAGACTCAATAGATGTTTTACAATACATCAAGAATGATTTTCACCCATACCCACGAAAGAGGATTGGGGGGGGGACGGTGGTGGGATCAATGAATTCAGACAATTGGAAAGGAGAGGGAACAAATTCATGCAGAGATTACAATATGCTAAATATTTGACATTCTGAATAGTAATCCCTCATTTCTTGTTCCTAGGTGTTTGGTTGCTGGACTGGCTTCAGGCAGTATCTTGGCCATTGCCGTGAACTTCCCGGGCCGTCTTTGATCTGAATTTCACTTTCCCCTCCCAAAAAAACAAAAATAACAAAAAACAGGACGTTTAGCCATGGATTTCAATGAACAATGTCTTGGTTTGTGATACGAGGCTGCGACGACGAGCTTTTCTCGTAAATGGTTGAATTGTGTCATGATGGATAAGCATTTTTGTAGAATTTAGATTATAATATTTGAATCTTCATATTCGATCACAAACTGTGGACGAGTTCATAGAGTGAATTTTTTAGTGAGTGAATGAAATGATTGTAATACTGTGAAATTCCAACTAACTACTTGTACATTTGGAATGGATCATTTCCAAGATGTCAAAAGCTTCCTTTAAAATAGGGCAAGTGCGAGGGCTTTGATATGAAAGTGGTTTTTGTATTCTCGAATGAATGCGATTCTTCTTTACCCGAAATGTCTTAGACTGGGCCTGATACCAAATGTTAGGATTTTTGGAACTTGTAAATGGCTTCTGAAGTATGGCCGGGATATGTACATTAGAACCAATCAAGTAGAGAAAGTAGATCAGTGCTGGTCGATCTCGGCCAATCAGTGTCAATCACTCCAAACGCCTAGCCAATAGTCCTACGAGGTCAAACCGCTCTGCGAGACATTTGAATGGGTTTCTCTCATAGAAAACTACAATTTATAAGGGCTGTGTGTCAATTTATTAATTGCTCCAAACAAAATCGCTTACTGCTTTTACATTTCTAGCTGTTACATCTTTAGTTACTCTTTATCCAGACGTCTACTACACAGCTTAACGAGAACAAGCGTAATATTAACTAGAGATAAATATTAGGGGCCCAGATATCAGCTTCGAAGTTTTCTTCGTCATTTCCTTCCATGTCTTCAAGGAGGATTTGAGAAACCAAAATCGTTAATTATATATTTATTGCATACTTCCAGCGAGTATGAGGATAAAACTGGTTGCCGTCAAGCTTAGGGGTTCCAAAGTTTAAAGGATGTAATCTTTTGCTTGAATGTTTCAAAAATCATCATTCCAATGACATAATACAATTAAATTTAATAGGGGGTCTTAGAAATTGATGCCGATCGATGCAGTCAATCGACAAGGGGATATAGTATTAAACGATTATCAAAAACGGTCCAGTTATAAAGGTAGAACCCAAATATACTTTTTTTTAAATAGTTAGTATGCAACAGTGAACTAACATAATGAAAGGTGAAGTGAAATAAAGATGACGAAATATTTGACTTTCAAGTTGATCTTGGTACTTATTTTGTCTCTGGTATGTTAAAACCTTTAAACCTCTTAGGTGTCATGACTGGCATCTAAATTCTCCCTACAATATCACCCCTGAATCAAACATTAAGGTCACGAGAATAAGGGAAATGATCATTGAACACAGAAACTCTTGATTTGTAAACAAATTCTCCTTGTCAGCACCTTTGGAAATGTTTAGAGGACAGTATGGAGAATATGCATATTGATGAGGAGGTGTCAAGAGTTGACCTCGACCTCGCCAAAGTGAATTTCAAAGTGAATTACACACACCTTTCAACATCACCACATAATCCAGTAAACGGTTAATGAGAACACGGAAACGTATTAACCAGTTGGCTTTATCATGCTGTAACCCAAATTAATTGCGCTGATTTGCAAGAAAATTTAAAACAACCGAAAGGTAAAGTAACAAACCAGACCTTGGGAGTTTACGATTTATCGTCACTTTTGACCCAGGACCCCTCTTCTTTTTTTTCATCCACCATTTTATAACTCAGTAACCGGGGAGGAACTGAAGCCTAAAAACGAGGTGTAAACAATTTAACAGGTTTAACAGGTTTTGATGCCCAGGCCACTAATACCATGTTCAGTTGCAAAAATTTCCGTTTGGAGAGTTTTGTAGCATACATGACGTGATATTTAGTATATATCTATCGTAGGTTCCCATTTCACGGGAGTTGCAAACTTTACAACAATTAACAATTTGGTTACATTCTACGCGTGTCTGGCATTTCATTTCTTCTTTCCTTTCATTTGTTCTTTTGCAACTTGAGCGGTGGCTTGTTGTGCTTGAGCCAGTGCAGCCTGGGCAGCGGCCTTTCTCTTGTTAAAAAGATTTATTTCCTCGTCCTGGAAAGGCAAATTAAAATAAGTTAACGTGTCCGTTAGTAGAGACAAACAAACAAACCTTATTCTCATTCTAGTGCGATTTTCGTGTTTGGTAAAATTATTGCTGTTTTTTCTTCTCGTTTTCCTATGTCGAAATAAGCTTTTTGCGATTATTTCTCGATTAAACTACGCAACTTCTTTTTCAGCCACTAATCAACACTAACTGCGGCTGTCAACGAGGTCCTTGCACGACGACAGAGCGCATTTGGCGTTTTTGTTCTCACTTACCAGCAACCTTCGTTTTTCTTCCAGCTTCTTCTTTTCGTCTACTTGTGTCTTCTTAAGATGTTCAAACTTGGCATGGAGCTAAATGTTTTTCAAGTTTACCAATAGTCACAAGGTGCGAAAAATAAAGAACAGAAAAAAGAAGGCAATATATCAGATGAACTATTAAACAACTATGCGCCGTTCTGAGGAATAATTTCTCATTTACATTCGTGCAATGTAACTTGGATTTATGTTTGCAGGATTTTAGATACACAGTATAGCTGAGCGATACCCAAAGGAAACGTTTGAGGTGTTTCAACATAGTTGCCTACGATAAAAATCCTCTCTAGTACCAAACATCAATCTTACTTCTTTTCAAAGTTACCACCAGCAATTTAGATTAAACACACGTTCACTGTCTAAGTATCAGACATAATATTTCTTTCACTCTGAAGAAGGGCTAAACTCGAAACGTCCGCTTTGGAAACTTCCTTTGGTGGCCAATTTACATGATCAACTCAGTTAATAACACCACATTATCTTAGACTAAAAAGATGAGGTGAACACGACGTTTGAGGTACACAACCGTTATCGACACCACATACCTCTTGCTCGGCTTGTTTTAATTCAGCCTCTTTCTCTTTGACCTTGTCTACAAAGCTCTGTCTCATTTTCTCTTCTCTGCTTTGTATGTCCTTCACGTACTCCTGTCTCCTGAGCTCGTACGTCTCCTGTAGACTGTGAGGCTGTTTGTCGCCGTCACCATCACTGAAACCCATGGTTTCTAACTTGTTCCTGCGGTACAACTCGTAGTGCCCGGTATGCGTCTTGTCGATCAAGTCCTGCATGTTTGTTCTGGAAAGTATGAAGCATTGTTTTACGATATGCTGAATTATGCACGAAGTTTCATTGGTTCTTCCCTATGATCCATTGGAGGACAGACGCAAAGATGACGTCACTATCAAAAACATCTTCCTTTTTTAATCATATAAATCAAATAGATTCACGTGATCTGGATTAGGCATTTAGCACATGGCACGAATGGTCTCCATACTTCTCCTCACGATGTTAAAAAACTCGATATTCCATGGGTAAACAATTCAGCACAAACTTACCGTACAAGCATCTCTCTCAGTTTCACAAAGTCGCAATGATTTTCATTTTCAACTAGAAAGAATGAAATAAAGGTCAGTTTTCCTTCATGCGTGACCATCTTTCAACAAGTACTGTATATAACGCTATCAGGAATCTTTTAGCACGATACTATCGTTAGTAATCAGCTCCTCTTTCACGTCAGCTGTGATGTTACAAAAAGGGTACATGTGCAGTACCTTCTACAGTCCCCCAAGGATATTGTCTGGCTCTCGTCTTCACTTTGTTGATAATAGCCTCTTCACGGCTTCCAACAACAGCAAATGGAATTTGCTCCTGAAAAAAAAATCACCAGTTAACTCACACGCACACGTAACATACACACTGACAGATAACAGAACTGTCGAGTAAATATGAAAACTGTATACGGCAACTCTCGATTTTTAAAACAAATTCTCCTTGTCAGGACCTGAGGAAATTTATAGAGAACATCATGGAGAAAGTGCATTTTGATGTTACAGTGTAAAGGGTAAGTAACTATTTGATAGTATTGAGGTAGTGGGAACATGTGATTTATCAACTTGCGTACATTCATGCCAGCATTCATCTCAGCAACAGTCTCATCGTCAACTGGAAATCGGTAAATTTCTACACCATTACTTGTAAGCTCCTCCATAATCTGGAAAATAAAGGAGAAAGTTAACCATTTTTTTTCCATGGATGTACATGTATATGTAATCAAGGTGCCTGTGTTAGATCAAATGAATGTACATGTACATGGAATTCTCCGTCACTCATAAGCTCACCTTCTCTTTGAATTGTTTCAGTTCACTTTTTGCTATGGTGTCTGCTTTGGCAATTATGGGAACAATATTCACCTGTAAACATAGCAAAAGAAAAAAAGCATATTTGGAATAAGTTGTTTCATTATTGAGGTTTAACAACACTGTTTTTTGAGAAGAATAAGGCTCTTATTTCAGAGGTGTAGGTTGCCCAATTCATAAAAGCTATTTAAACCTTAAGCTCCCAATATCTGGGCCGGGTTGTTCGAAGCTAGGTTAAGATAACCCAGGATTAGTGTGAAATCTGATTCAAGATCTGAAAGCTTTTAAAAAAATCAGTCAAATCTCTTTTTGTCTAGAATATGACTATTTGATGCCCTAAAAAGAACACAGAAAATTAATCCAAAAGGACTTTTGAATAAAGGAATAAAGAAACCCAGATTACAATTTAACCTTGGGTTAGTGCTAATCGGCCTTCGATCAACTGGGCCCTGGTTGTTAATTCTCCCTTATAGCTGCTGCACATTTCCTTGTAAATTAGTTATGAGAACTTGGTGTTAAATCAAGATGACAACTTCTACCTGATAAGTTTGAGTATTCTCATTACCTGTTTGCTGGATAATGTTTAGATATAATAAGGAGAAGTTTCATGTTTATCACTTCTGGGAGTTTAAGGGTTAAGAAAAAGCTAAGCAGTAGCTTCAATAAAAGCACAGCTGGAGTCTGATTTGTTCATCACAAGTATGATTACAGACTGAAGTCCATGACACAAGGTCAATTAATCATAAAAATTACAATTTACAAGAAAACAAGCAATCAACACTGGCATCAGCATAATAATTATTACTTTGAAGTGTTACCTGCATGTACTAACCTTTTTGTCCAGTTTTTTCATACAAACAAGGTCCAGAGATTTTAACCTGAAGAAAAGTGCAACCTTGAATAAATATGCTTTAACAAAGGGAAGTACACTAGTATACAAATGCGCAGTCACTAAAAATTAAAAAAGGGAGGTGGGTTTACATCATAAGAAAATGATTCATAGTACATTGGAGACCCAAAAGTTATGTTTTACTTGTAGTTATGCTTAACAGTAAAATTGCATCATAAAGAACCAAAATGGCTTCAGCAAAAGGTATGCAATTCAGTGTTCTGGGTAACAAAAATTTATTGCACATGTATTTGAGCCACAAGTAGTCTGCTACATCACAGTTTCTATAATAATAAGACACACCAGAACCCATTTAAGACTTATAAATGTATTTGGGAAACAGAACACTTGTGATTGGCAGCACAGCTTACAAGTATAATTATGAAGGAATGGGTGGTCTGCAACTCCTGATAACAGTGGTGAGAATAGAACAAGAATTTGAAAGAATCTTTTGAGTGCAGGAGCCATACACTGAAGACTTACGAGTGGCCACTGGGAGAGATGAAGTAGAGGCAAACATGAACACGTGTGTCATGGTACACATTCAGGGTTCTTTTTATCTTGAGCTCTTGTTGAAGATATTTTTCAAACTGGGAATCAATATACTCCACAATAGGACTGGCACTGAAAATAGTAACAAACCACTTCACTTTTTAGACAAAGTCCTGAATGTGTACAATTAGTATTAACAACCCTTGAAAAAGAAACAACTGGGATATTACTTCATCACAGCTTGTGGCATATGATTGAAGGACCTCATGATTCTGTCACAGTGACAGCAATCTATTGCAATCCCACACAAAAGTTCTTAAAGATAACATGCTTAAGGTTCCTGTAAAAACAGTTTGGTGCATTCTCAGTGCTTTTAAGTCTAATAATTTCCTTCAGCTGAGAAACACAACTTTGGTAAATTGCCTTCATCTGACAAAGCCTTCTCTGAAGCTCTATGCTATGCTCTGAGTTCCTCTGCTTTTGGTAGCCAGGCTTTTAACAGTTATCCAGTGGAAATCCTAATTCGGATACAAGTTTCCTATTGTGCCTCTGGGTGAACCTGTATATACTACACTCTCAAAAGGAATTTAAGAAGAAAATCAATACAGCAGACACCATACCTGTCTTCTTTGTTGATCTGGTCTCCAAAACCAACAGTATCCACAACTGTAAGCTTCAGTTTCACATTGCTCTCATTCAAATCTACCAAAGGTAATTGGCAGAAAACTATCATTAGTCATGGATACTTAATAAGAGATTTTATCGTAAATGCACCAACAGAATGAAAGTGTACACCAGAAGTATTCCATGTGAATGTAAGTGGATTTCAGGAACTCATGTCCAAATATCTTTACTCCTAACTCTATGAAAATTTAGGAATGATAAAGGAGAGGAAAAGAAGATAATTTTTCCATGAAATAGACACATATGATCACATAAATGAAAATAAAGAAAAAATGACAAACTTTTCATCATTTGTAACATTGTTGAACTCACCATAGGTGTGATCTTCTACTTTCACACCAGGAAGTTGATGAGAATGAGGAATTCCTAGACAGACAAAAAAGTTGAATAATTTAGGGAGCAATTGAAAAAAGCCCAAAGGAACTCTGAATTGTCCATTTGTATAATTATTCAGAGTCTACAGTGAGATGAAACCAGTCAAGGGGGAGGAATTACTGGAAAGATATTTGGTACAGGGCTGACAGTTGTAGATAGGTTGAAAGGTCTTTTGTTCTCTAAGCTTTTCATTGCTACTTCAACTTAAAATGTCACTTGACAAGACTAGTGTCTAACTAAAAAAAAACTATGCAGTTTGCTAAGACACCACATCTGGCACGCCTACCCTAAATATCTATATTTTAATTGTTTCCTCATAAATTTCTATAGTAATCTAGATTAACTAAATAAAATTGTAAATTTAAAGCAAAAGAGTAAGGAAACGTGAAACAAACAATTGATGTTGTTGTTGTTTGTTGCTCCTGAAGATACAATTGTAAATTAATTTTATGGAAAGTCAAGAAATACAGTGTACTACTCCTAAAGAGAGTTTTGTGGCAGTGGGAAAATGAGAAGCAACATGTTTAAGATCAACAGGTGTTTTAAGTAATGATTATTCTGGTCTGGTCTATTTTTCCAGTCTGGTTGATTTCTTTTGTAACAATTGTGCCTAAAATTAACTTGATGGTCATGACATTCACAATACACAGCACAAAAAATTCTACCATGCAGAAGCTCTAAACTTTCCTTTCAAAGTTTTCACATAGCCTGTACTTGTACTGCAATATCGAAAGAGATTAGAACTCTAGGATGTTCCTTGACACACAAGTGAATGAAACGATTGTACCAAGTGCTGCATTTGAATCTGTCAGCCATGCAATATTTAATAGTTTCAGGGATAGCCACACCTATTACCTCGACCACAACAACAATGAATATTAACAAAAGGAAGACGCGCTTGCATCACTTCCCATCAAAACTGAAAAGGATTCCACGGAATTTGAAAGGAACGCTAAAACACTTGATCACTCCAAACCTACCTTCAAATGTCGTTTTAAAAAGACAATCCATCAGAGTTGATTTTCCGATTCCTGTTTCACCTAAATATAAAAATATCCTCTCTTTAGTCACTTCCTCCTTTTCAATTCTTGTTTTGGTAGTAATTCAACCTTAACACATGAAAGTTATGTTTTGAATAAGTTTGACACATGATAAAAGTCTTGAAGAAGTTCGATTCTGTAGATAGGTTTAAACTCGTGCATACTCTATCCAGGTAGAAGCAAGTTCCTTATTTTACAAGAAGAATATCTTACCTATGCACAGAATATTAAAGGCAAAGCCTCTATTCACTGATTTATTGACAAGCTGGTCCGGTAAGCTGTCAAAGCCAACATGGCCCGCTAAACGCAACTGCCGCCCGTCCGCTCCCTTTAACAGAACGATTTCAGAAAGTTACAGAAATAGTACAAATTCAAGAGACGAAAACTTGAAAAATTGCTACTTACTAATGTCCTGCAGTAATCAGTCACCGCCGAAGCCATTTCAATCGAGTGTAAAGTCTAACTAAAGAGCCAGACAGCTGCTTCTGAATATTTCGAGAGTAAAGAGGTGAGAATTATGAAAGAAATGTGGTTTGGTCAGCGGTCAAAACTGGAGCCTAGTCTTTTCTCTGCAAAAGATTGGGAGTCTTCGAAGTTGTGAACTTTGCTGTTTACCTCGTACGATTCGTTTGACATATGGAAGTGAAGCTCTGTTCTCAATAACCTACTTATCAGCTCATAATCCTTCTACTGAGCGATGTTTTCTTCACTAGGGGGTAAAACGTCCTTGTTTCGCGTCACGCTCGTTGGAATTGGGGGAGTTGGTTGCTGTCTGTTGTGGAGAGCGAAGAATGGACATTCATCTGTCAACGTAGTTGCGGCAAAGTCTCCTGATAATGGTCCAGGGCCGACACAAACTCGGCGAAAGACAAAATTTGATCAGTTTGCTTCCATTGAAGTGGACGGGCGGTATTTCATGACTCCAGCTGATTTCCTGGAATCTGTCATGAACAAAGATTCACTAGGTGATGATCACGACTGTACTCAGACACACACCCACTAATGCACATTTATTTGACTTAACCCCTTTCATATACTTCAACCCCTGTCACCATCTTCATCTGGAAAGGTCAATGAACATAAACCTTGGTTGTTTCTTTCAACCATTCCTACCTCAGCCTGTTGGAAATTGCTTGATAGGACTATCCAGCACAATCAACAATCAATTGCTGTTGAACAGATAAACATCAACAAAGTTACTTAAAAGTGGGGGATCGAGTCATTCCCCTTTCAAACCACTGGTTCTTGGACCAAAAGTTTGCCACAAAGTGTTAAGAAAGTTTTCAAAATTTGTGTTAACCTCACCAAAATCTATGAGTGAGAAAGATCAGCTGAGCAGGTGATCCAGAGGAACATGATTTGAGGCTGATTTAAGTGTAGAGTTTTGTTACGTAATGTGAAATTTGCTATCATCAGGGGGCAATTTTGAAGTTGAAACATCAAAGGGATGAAGAGGCCTTCAGTTAACAATGTTTTTATCACTTGAAATAGTAAATTAGAGGTTTCTGAGAAATGGCTTTTGTAAATTACTTTGAATCATCCTACTGAAACTGTTTTAAAAGAAATAAACAAACTTGTGTTTTTCTTTTATAAACATGTACAGGATGGAGTAAGAAAAGGCCATTAACAAAGGACGTAAGTTTGAAGCCAACATTGTTTTGATTATTTATTTTTTAATTGCATTGCTGCGCTACTTATAAATGTAAGTGCAGGGCAGTATTGTAATTAATATTTAAATATTTATGACACAAGTCAGGAAAACTGGATTGCATATGTGAAGTGGAGGCGTCACAAACTTTGTACTCTACACTACTCATTTATACTCTTGGGTGAATCATGACATTGTTAGAATGAAATGTCTTGCCTTGGCTAGTAAGGACACAATGTACTAACCCTGGGCTTGAACTTGGGCCTTTCATTATCTCCCACCAATCTGATTGCTGGGTCAAGGGGTCTCCTTTGTGAAATATGTTTTATCATATGACTTGTATGTCCAGTGTGCATAATGAAAGCTGATCTGTATAGGAACAGATGGGTCCAAGCCAGTCTGTGTTTTTGAAGTGCGCAAATTCAAATTCTGGATTTCAACTTGAAATAATTTGGAAGCAAATTTCTGGTCCTGACCAGAAGACATTCAAAGTTTTCAAAGAAAAAGTTTTTTTTATCCACCACCTGTCCATCTAAAGGAAATATGTGTTATTGTTAACCATTTAGGTTCAAACATGATTTCAAAATTTAAGACTTAGTGGTTGTATGTACATATCAACTGGGTTCGATTGGGAGGATGGAAATATTTAGTTCTTGTTCATTGTGCATAGCCCTCACTCTGTGGAGTTTGGAATTCCTGACCTTAAGCCAAATAAATTTTTTGTTCAGCCCTCCTACTCAGTCAATAAATAAATAGTACTGGTAAACAATGGCAGCATATACCTTCTTCTTGTGACTCATAAGTTACTTCTTTTATTTACTTTTAGGTTCTTTCTCAGATGGTCTACAATACACCCTCAATATCAAAGGGATCTAGGAATTTTTTTCGCAAGCTGCAAGATAATGGTAATTTCAATTATATGTTATTAACAATTAATTTCTTACTTGCTTATTTTGTGTAACAGATATTGTCCTCAAATTGTTGTTTTTGATTTATGCATGAAAATATTTTTTAATTGTAATCTATGTAATTCAAGATAACTATTTTTTTTTTATATTTTTGCTTACCAGGAGTCATCACCTTCTCCGAATACTTGTTCCTTCTTACCATTTTAACAAGTATGTTATTACAATTTTTTTCCTATAAGTACATTAAATTGGGACTTTGATGTTGTTGGTTTTGTTACAGTTATGTAATTTATATAGTGGTACATTTATACCAGTCATGTATATACAAAAAGGTGGCACACAAGGTGCAGCAAAGTGTGTCACTGATGTTCTTACCAGATTTCAACATCTTTTGTGATCTATCACTGTACAGACCCAGTCAGCAACATGGTCTCTATTTGTTTTAAATGATAAAAATGCCGTCTTTGGTAATATCATCATACTTCTTTCCTTCATTTTGTGAGAAGCTGAATTATTCATACTTTCTGATTGGTTCTTACTAATGATGGATTTGTACAAATGATGTGATTTATAGATCTATTAAAGAATTGGAGTAAATTTTCTTATAAATTTATTTTTCCAGAATCTCAAAGAGGATTGGAAATCGCTTTCAAAATGTTGGATAAAGATGGCAATGGCCGGCTTTGTAAGGAGGAATATTTTGTGGTGGGTTAATTCAGATAACACAAGTTTACATAAAGCACACGGACATGTTATGACACTGTTTACTATTGTGCTTCACTTTTAACTAACTGAACACCTCAAACTAGGTTAAAGGTTACTGGTTAATGTGTGATGTGATTACTTGTATAAACAAAATTCTTGTTTTGCTTTAGTGAGTGACTGATGATTGATTTACCGATCAATCCAATCTTTCCTCTGTTTCCTTATGTTTTATCAGCTTGAAGAGATGGTTAATAAAAAGTCTTCTGCAAAATCAATGGTAAGGAATAAAAACTTTGATTTTTATAAAAAAAAAAGTTGGAATTTAGAAGATGTAAAATTAAGTGAATAAGTGAATTATTAAATAATCTTTTTTAACTTTTTATATAAAGTTTTTTTTTACTCATGTTCAGGCAATACGAGAAAATGAAAAGGAAAATCATGGCTGCCTTGAGAAGACAACTTTAACCATGCATCTGTTTGGCTCCAGGGGAACTGGCCAACTTACTTTAAGTCAGTTCTCCAAGTAAGTTACTCAATGTTTGCCTAAGAGAAGTCATAAATATACAGACACATGCTTTACAGGTTAAGATATATTACTAAAGAAAAGGGCAAACTAATTCGTGACTTTTATTATTCTTTTTAATAGATTTATGCAAGATGTTCAACTAGAGGTCCTTGAAATGGAAATATCCTTTAGTAATAAATGCACTTAATATAACATCTGTGAAAACAGATGTATTTTCACGATTTTTGGTAACAAAATCTACGAGAACATTTCAAATTCCAGTTCAAAAAAAGTCAACACAACAAAATAAAAATAAATGTGAGATGGATTCTCACAGTTTACGATACCTAAACGAGAATAAGGATGACAAAATAAGGTGGAGATCTTTCACGAGTATAACTCTCGTGTCCTGTGTGGAGGTAAATTTTCATTTAGGGTAGTGAGGGTGTTAAATTTGGATTTCAGTCGTGGATCAAACTTTGGTGATTTGAACATTGTGGCTACCCCACCAAGACCTGCATCTCAGACCATTGCTACAATGCGCCTGTTCATAGCTGGGTGCTCTTAAATGGGTTCCTTTCTGACAAGTAAGGATCAGCAGTGTCGTGAATGTCCTGTTTAGCGCAAGAAAAAAAAATTAGCTCGCTCGTCGAAAGACCAATGATGTGTAGAGAAGGTGTATTTCCAAGGTATAAACCGTTAGTAAAATGAATTCCTTAACTGTGTTCACTTTATGGAATATTCAAGGGGCATGCCAACCATACCAGAAGACAGTTTTGCTCGTTTGCTGCTGAGAAATACTTCGTTGGAGGAAGAGGAAATCCAGAAGTACTTAGACAGACTTGGAAAGAGACTGACTCAACGAAAGGTAGGATCTTTTAAATTTGTTACTTCTGTCATTAACTGTTAGTAGTATCGTAATCAATTCAATTGCTTCTATTAAAAACCGTTTTCTTTGAAGTAGCATCCGTCCTGCAACACACTCGTCACATAACACACGCGTCACGTAACTCGCATGTTGTGTGACGAACCCGTGTGGCAGCTGCGCATAGCAGGTTTCATAGTCGTAGGACTTTTTGCACGATTGAGACCATACGATGGAGTCATGTTCTCTTGCGCCGTAACGTTACTCCCTTCCCCCCCCCTCCCTTCCACCCCTTCTTTCTCTCCAAGAGAATGCCATTTCTCCAGAGGGGAAGCATCATTTCGTAACGGGAGAATGGTTTCCATGTCAGCCCTTGTTTTTTTTTTACGATTGATCATAAAAGCTCTTAGTCAGTTTTATGCAGACCTGATTGCTGCGTTGAATGCCTCTCCACATCATGTGAAGAGGCATTTAATTAAAAACCCATATGAGCCATATGAGGGTCTTATTTTCTACGACTTGATTAAGAATTCCTCAGTCTTAAAGGCTCTCTCATTTCCCTGACTGGAAAAAAATATCGTGGAAATTATTCAACTGTCGACAACTTGTTTCTTGAAGGGAATTACTCTTGAGCAGTTCCTGAGGTTTGGAATGTTTCTCAACAACCTGGAAGATTTCTCATTGGCCATGAGAATTTACTCTATCGCTGGACAGGCCGTCACACAAGGTACGGCAACGAACATCAGTCCTCTGTGTTTTATATCTTGTTTTGAGTTTATTTCGATTTGTGAAGGTGCGCACCAGGAAAACTCTTTCCCCCTTTTACAAATCCAAGCTTACTAACGGGAAATACTTGGTGAACATGGTATTTGAAAGTCACTCAGGTTTTTTTTCCTTTATTATTGTCATTATTGTTTTAACCTCTCACTCTCAACATCTGATCACTATAATTCGCCCGTCTAGATGGTTGGGGGAGGGGGAGGGGGGAGGGGGGTGTGGAGGGCAGGTTCTTGTGGGGGAATGGAGGGGGGGCTAGTCTTCGCCATCAGATTATGAAGGGGAGACTATAATAAACTGGCTGTCAACGAGGAGGGAATCATTCGATTATTACAAAGCCTTATAGGGAGGGGGGGAGAATCTATCGTGGTAGGTAAATCAGTTCTATCGTGACAACTAACATCCTTCCAGCCCACTCACCCCTCCCCTAGGCGATAAATAATGACCGAACCCCTGGCGATAACTATTTACGGATGAAAAGTTATCTAGTTGAAGTTGAAAGAGGCAGGTGTTTTTCCGTTTGAAAATTTACTTTATGAATGTTAATGTGTTAAGTGAAATAATATTCGACATCCATCAGATTACATTGTTACCTCTTAACAAAAGACCTATGCAAGTTTGATGTTTGCGTGTAACTTGTATTCAACTGAGTGCTCTAAATTGATAATTAGATTGATACATTTCGGCACGAAACGGTTTTTGCGATCCATGTATTGAGTCGTTATTCCTTTTGCATGCCCTATCGGTCGCCTGTAACTTCTGGGATACGCGTCACTGGATTTAATCTAAGTAGGAAAATCGTCAAACGGAATAAAGTTGGAAGGTCTGTCGGTGACTCTTTCCAGACGTCTTTGTTTCCTTTACAATTTACACGCAGGAAAAAAAAACTAAGCGAGCTAACTCTGAGATCCTTTCAAAAGTTGTGGTTGTCAGTGAAAGAGCTGCAAAACATTTTTTTGTTGCACGCAACACTGAGCCATAATTATTATTTTTTTGCCGGACTCCCGCCGTTTTGGCGGAACGGCATTAATCAGCCGGTGCCACGAGCCTGATGTAGGCTAAGGATGGGAAAAATGTGTCTTAAAAAATGAAAAGAAAAAAAGGATAGATTTTTGAGTTATGTTGCGTCTTCTTCGTTGGCCTTTTTCGGTCAGTCTATGCTCAAGGTGTTATCCATGACCTCTTTTACGACGGAATTAATGGAAAACTGCTATTAAAAGTCGACCGATAATTGACGCGACTAAGTTTGCAAACAAATATATTTAAGGGTCTATGTTAGTTTTTCGTGACAAGTTTGACCTTGATCTAAATTACTGGTTTGAAGAGTAAAAGAGAGACCGAGTGGAGTTACTCCGTTCTTTGTTCGCCAGAAACATAGAACTCGCAAGAATTCTGCTCTAAAAGCTCTATTCATGACGCCATATATTATGGGATTGATGGAACAACTGCCAAAGCCGAGATATATGTATAAAATGAACACCTGCCGTGGGATAGCGAGCTTATGTGCCGAGAAAGAATCAACCATGTCAATAATAGCTATAGGTCCCCAACAGAGGATAAAGCCCAGCACAGCCGCGAAAAGAGCTTTCGTGATCTTTACTTCTTCGACGTTAAAGGGAAGAGTCGTCCCTTGTCTTTTACAGCTCATTTCGTGGTTGTGTTCTTTGATGGTTCTAAAAATCTTGTAGTAAGCGAACATGATGATTGCAATAGGAATCCCGATATAAACAGCATCCAAATACGCCATGTAAGCCATGTCGAGGTACGGCGTATCGAAGTCCATAAAACAGATCACTTTACCGTAGTGCACGATAAATGTGGCCCACTGAGCCATCGATGAAAGCCCTGCACCAAAAGCTGCGAAAAGTGTCATGGCAACCACGGAAATACACGTTGATTTTACTTTAAAACGCTGACGATAAAGGTTAGGTTTCACCACGCGAAAATATCGGTTCAAAGCCGTTGCAGTCATAAGCAGCAAAGAGTATAACGCACAGAAAAAACAAAAAAATCCTTGGAAATGACAAACAGCACTGCTGAATGGCCACTCTCCTGTCATAAGAAGAACCACGGACATTGGCATACATAGGACTGCCATGAGAGCATCAGATATGGCCAGAGTGACGACGTAGATGTTTGGTATGGTGCGAAGTCGTTGGTTACGGTACACAGCCCAGCAGACTAGCATGTTACCTATGAAGGCCAGAATATTGATAAATATCATAAGAGCACTTTCGAAGACAACCAAACCAAGTGATCTTTGCTGCAGCTCTTGAAAAAGAAGCGCTTGTCCCTCCGTAGCCATCTGTTCAAGAAAATTGTAACACTCTAGCAGTTGTGTAGCATGATTTGTTGGAAGCGTCGTGCTAGCGATGATTTACATCGTGACGACTAGATAATTAGACACCTGTTCCTTTTGAATCGAGAGGAATTCCTTGTAGTTAAGGAGTGTTAAAGTTGTTGCATGGGAATAAACCGTTATGACCACAGCGTTTAAAGTGTGGCTATTCTCGGATAGAAAGTTAGCATTGTTTATCTGCGAAGAGGCAGGTGTGAGTTCGTTGCAGTTACTTCCTTTGTCAGGTTAATGAAGCAAATTAATAAATTAATATTCAACTTTTTCGCATCCTTCACCAAAGACTTTTTATAATCGTGAAACAAATTATTTGACAGTAAAGTAAAGTAAAATATAATAAGAGTCATGTCTTCAAAGTTTAAACGTCTTAAAGTAGCCATAAATTTCGCGGGAGGTTGTTTATCGAACAGGTTAAAAACTTTCTACCCGAACAACAGCAGCTGGCGTACGTATAATTTCAATATTTTTATTTTCATTTTTCAATCTACAAATCGTGGTGAATACAGAAATACAACAAAATTCAACAAGAAGACATCAACTCAACTTTATAAGCTTAAGTAATCATATTGTTGTTTAGTCAAGTACATGCATACAAACCACAAGTATATTTAGAACACTTGAAAGATAATCCATTATGGGAAGACCAACAAGGAGGGTAATTGTCCGGAAAACATTAAATGAAGAATAACAGTTATGCATTCATAACAACAGTTAAATCCTCCGAGCTTGGGAGAGTCTCTTTCTTTTTGTTTTATTTTATGCTTTTGATAAGTTAGTTGCTATCGTAGGTGATCATTCTTTAGCCTGCAGAGTAGACGTATTTTTTTTTGCGTTTTTCAGTCGAACAGAGGCCTGTACGAGGCGAGCGCGAAGTGTGAGTCACGTGTGAAGGGAGGAGCGCATATTTTTGTGCTCCTTCCCTAGCGCGTGCGCATGACTCGCGCTAATAACCTCACCAAACTTGCGAATAACTTGCGTATAACCTTACTGGTCGTAAATTGTCTTCACGTGCTAATGATGCATGCGGCCCTGGACGTCGTCAATTGGAGAAAAATTCGGTAATATTGGCGGATCCCGCAAAACTACAACGCGTGGTTCACAAACAGCTACTGACGCTTGAATTAACATTTAAATTGAAGGAAAGGACTGGGAGATAACTGTCTATACTACTCAGTCTAGCGAGGGTATTATTGAAAAATTACATTTCAGTCAAATTTGATGTCAGCAACCCCGCCCTCAAAAAAAAAAAACAACAACAACAACAACAACACCAATAGCCATTAGAAATGCGGTTAAGTAATTATTAATCCACACAAATGTAGGTAACGGCTACTGACAACAATTACAGAAAACATTTACGTTAATGCAGAGGCATATTTTTTTCCTGGCACGCTGTAAGACAAAAAAACTAAATGGTTATAGCCGATAAACTCCCTTGAAAGGTTTCTAACAATGTGCCGAAAACTGCTAAAAAGGTACCAGGAAATTTTCAGTGTCAAGTAAGCTTGATTTACTGGACAAAACCGGCTTTGTTCTGATCATAAAAGCGAATAACTAGTGTTTCTACTTGGAATAAAAGTGATTTTAGAGTTACTACGGCTTGAAGCACCGAGACTATTGAAAATGTAGATGATGTTTTGTAATTCAGTTACACCCGTAAATTATTTGTAACAATTCTACATCTTAGATTTGGCTCTCTGCTAAACTTGGTCTTATTTTAAGCAAACTGATCACAATTTGTGGCGTGCATGGTGAAAACTGTGAAACACGAAAAGGTGAATACGTATATTTTCGAAGATTAGGTATACACAAGGTTTTACCGCATTTCCTTGAGCTAAATAGATAGGGGTACATGAAAAAGGTGGGAGAAACAAACAGAAAGCAAAGATTCATTAAGCCATTCGGGCAATATAAAGTGATTATAAATCAATCGATCGAACAAAAACATCAAATTCTCCTCCGGGTATAACCCGTATGGGCATTTCATTTCTTTGATGTTCCCGTGGGTGGTGCGTAAGAACTTGACATCAGTGGTCGATATCAGGGCCGTAGTGCTGGTGGGTGATTAGCACTAAGCGCCTAGATTGCTTTTTTTTACTACCTTACTTGGAGAAGTGATCGAAGCTTTAGAGGATTTTAAGAGAAAATTGCGTCCTTAAAAATAAAAGGGCGGAGGTAAAGGCATTGAGGAAGCTTTTTCGCGCGTAAATGGAATATTTGTCAGGAGTAGAAACAATTGACCGGAAAATGGAGTCTGAAAGATATAATCAAAGTGTACATTTTCAACTTTCCGAGAGGAAAGAGGTAGAAAATTTCGAGACATGAATGGATCCAAGTGTTAAAATGCGTGGGGGCTTAAAATTTATGATTCAGTTATTCTGAATCAGTTTGTGTGGTATATTAGGATTGTTAGGGGGTCTTTTTTTTGGCGGCTCTAAGATGATGTCTCACTAGAATCTTCATTATGTTCCCGCATACACGATTTCCTGTGCCAAACAAATTAACAAATGATTTCAATTAGTGTAAATTAAATGTTCTCATTGTTTTTAATGGTAATGAATGTTTGGCGATATGAGAGTGTTCGGTGATTTTTTTGTAATCTTTTTCGGTATTTATTTGGAGTATGGAAGATCTTTTCTTACAAAATTCGTCATTGAATAGACTCTTATTTAATTTCGTTTAAGGATTACCAAACAAACGAAGTACATGTAAAGAGAAACGTTTAGGCCACAAGAGAGTACTTCGGACGAAAAGTGTCATCTATTTCTCCTTGAAGCAGGAGAGACTGTTTCCTGCTTCAAGGCAACGGATACGGGTTACAATTGCCAGAAGTTAAACTGACATTTCAATGTAAAGAAGTAACTTTCATTTTCCGTCGTGTCTCAATAAACGCGTTTTAGAAGTGCGCGAAAATAATCTCGCTTTGTCATTTACAAGATCATTTCATTCGAATCGCCATCTTCTCGAGCACTTTACTTTCATTGACAGTGTTTTTTCTAAGTATGCAACATCTATTAGCACAATTTTGTTGCCGATGTTTGCTTGAATTCAAAAGAATCCCCTTTGCAAAGCTATCCTTAATAATTGTCTTTAAAATTTTATACGCATGATGCTTAAGTGTTAATGAAAGCGGGTATGGCAACCGCTCAAGGTGAAAACACACGACTTTTCGAGTGAAAGTGATTCTCGTTATTTCAGTGTTCGGTGTGACTCCCAAAGAAGATCATTACCAGAATTTCCTATCGCTCGTATTAAAATAACACATAAGCACGCAAAACAGATTAATAAGGTATCAGGAAGTAAAACGGCCCTAATCCATATTTATCTTCTTTATGTGTACATCGAACTAAAGAAAATGTATAATGTCAAAGTTGTCAAGACGCTTCCAGGACAAATGGTGCGTGAAGGTTTAAAACGACTGTGTTTGGCTATTTAGTGTAAATGACTATTACAGAAGGAAACATATGTGCATGTCTCTTAATTTTTTGCGCCTCAGACTTTTACCTCTATTCCGACAGAAGTAACTGTATTTCTCGAAACCGTTTTGTTGTCGTTAAATGTTACAGCCTGTGATTGGTTTAAAAATATGTAACTGACGCCTCTTCTTTGAAATGGGTTTTAGTTCTCTAGCTCATAAATGTTCCAATCGTTCTCAAAGAATAACTGATCACGCTCTCCTTTGACGCTGTCCCAACAATGCTTGTTTTTCATTTATTCACCCAGTTGGATATCTTCAGGCTATTACATTGCTTGAAGGCACCAGAGGAAAACTTATTTCATAATACGATAGTGTACGAGGTTTCGAAATACTTGCGATGCAATGAAAGTCCAGTTCGTGCGCTTCTCGTTTCACTAGTTATCGTTTTCCACGTCTAAATTTTCATGGAAATTATTTAATTTTGTCCCGGCATCTAGCCACTAAAAGAAAAATAAAGGAAACTCTTTCGTCCAGAGTAATTTGCTTCTCCTAAGGGCATTGTACTATGCGAATAGATTAAGTGTCTTACTCAAAATATATTATAATGAATTGACCTTTCGTCCAGTAGAGACCGTGTTTTACGTGTTTGCGTCAAATAAAATTCAGGATATTGTATTTTCAAAATAAACATTTGCCTAACAAATTGATTCGTTGATACGCCTACAATTCAAATCTATCAGGTGCGCGGCATGAAATCTAGAAGCGAACCTTTTTCACAAAATAAGTAACAAGAGTTCGGTATTCTTGAACGAAAATATGGATTTATGAAATTATATAAAAGCAATTCAAATAAATATACGTCGTTTATTAACTCCTTTTGTGTGTTTTATTAGAAGTATGAATTTTGTTTACACAAACGGCTTTCATTCACGCTGTTAGAATTACTTTTTTCCATTTCCGTAAAGATTATTTTAAAGGTCGCTGGAAAATCTCGATTTTCCCGGCTCGGCGTGCCACATGTGCTTTCTCTTCACTGTGAAAAAGACAGGGCATTAACAGTGATGGTCCCATCAAGTTGAACCACTTCATTCTTTCTTTTCCAGAAAGTTAAAACCCGTAGGAATTCTGCTCGAAACGCTCTATTCATGACTCCGTATATTACAGGATTAATGAAACAACTGCCAAAACCGAGATATATATATAACATGAAAACCTGCCGTGGGATAGCGAGTTTATGCGCTGAGAAAGAATCAACCATGTCAATGATAGCTATAGGTCCCCAACAGAGGATAAAGCCCAGCACAGCTGCGAAAAGTGCCTTTGTTATTTTTACTTCTTCCACATTCAGTCGAAGAGTCGCCCCTTTTCTTGTATTGTTCATCTCCTGATTATGTTGTTTGATGGTTGTAAAAATCTTGTAATATGCGAAGGTGATGATTCCAATGGGAACAGAGATGTAGATAACATCCAAATACGCCATGTATGCCATGTCCAGGTACGGTGTATCGAAGTCCATAAAACAGATAACTTTACCGTAGTGCACGGTAAATGTGGCCCACTGAGCCATCGATGAAAGCCCTGCACCAAAAGCTGCGAAAAGTGTTATGGCAACCACAGAGATACATGTTGATTTTACTTTAAAACGCTGGCGATAAAGATTGGGTTTCACCACGCGAAAATATCGGTTCACAGCCGTTGCAGTCATAAGCAGCAAAGAGTATAACGCACAGAAAAAACAGAAAAATCCTTGGAAATGACAAACAGCACTGCTGAATGGCCACTCTCCTGTTATAAGAAGAACCGCGGACATTGGCATACAGAGTACTGCCATGAGAGCATCAGATATGGCCAGAGTAACGACATAGATGTTTGGTATGGTGCGAAGTCGTTGGTTACGGTACACAGCCCAGCAGACTAGCATGTTACCTATGAAGGCCAGAATATTGATAAACATCATAAGAGCACTTTCGAAGACAACCAAACCAAGTGATCTTTGCTGAAGTTCTCGGGAAAGAATTGTTTGCCCCTCACTCGCCATTGTTAACAAAGCCAAGAAAATTTGTCTCAGTCGACGATTTTGTCGTGGAAGCCTCCTGAATCTTTCAGCACCAAAAGCCACTCCTGTCCATGGATGTAAGCCGCATTCGATTTACAATCGGTTGATGTAATTTGCTTTCTCGCTGAGATCTGTGGGTGTATAGCCAATTCTTTAAACGATGCGTTATCTGCCCTTGTTAGGAAATGAAAAAAAGGCTCATTTAAAACCCAGGTAACGTAATATTGTCTTTATCATACTGGGCACAATTTTGCATGATTTTGCATGAATTTTTGTGGTGTGAGCAGGTGCACATTTATCGGAAAAAGAAACGTAATTCAGTTGTTGATTAACAAAAAGGTAATCACTTTTAGAACAAGTGGTGACACTTTTATGGAAACTGATAACAATTGAGTATATATTGCAGTTAAATTTCAAAGACCGCCCAAGGTTTTTTTTTTTTTAGGTAAGCAAACGGTTTATCATTGAGGCTTATTTTTCAAATGAACCCGACGAAGTTCGTGTGATTCAAATTAGCATTTTGTTTGCTCAAAAAAATACTCGGTAAGCGTGGAGTGGTTTCATGGAAACAATTCTTGTGTGTATGAAAAGAAATGTCACCATTAATCTGACTCAGGCTTAAGATTAGCAAACAGGAAAGTGATTATACCGGAAGAACGATTTGTATGATTTGTATATACTGAAAACTTAACGCCTGGAGGATACTGTATTAGTATTTTTCAACGAAACCAGTTTGAAATTTAAGAAAAGCAAAAATTTCAGGAATTTTTTTTTAATAAAAAAACAGGGACACTTATTACAATATATTGAAACATAATACCTCGAATAATTAAACACCAATTTAGTGCATGTAAATCAATTCTGATAACTTTGACGTAAGGGAGAAAAATTTCGTTGTATGAGTCAAATTTTAGTAAAACGAGTTTGGGTCTTTTTTTCGTTTTGTTTTCTCTTTTTTCGTGATATTTTTCAATTTTCAAGTCTTTTGCCTTTTTGAAATTCATTAGACAGAGCTGCAAATTGTTATTGGTGTCATTCCGGGACAAAAATTTTCAAACGAATCTTACATATTGCAATGACAAAGCTTGAATTTGTTTTCAAACTCTTTCGGTACACGAGGCGGTTTCGAAATTGCCAGTCCAAGCAACTTATAGGATATAGGATGAGTGGTCGACAGTACTTACCATTCTTTGCAGAGAATTGATCTATCTCAATGGTTTTATTTCTCTCAGGCGGGACGAAGGTTATCTTGAGCACTTTCTTTAAACATACCCTATCACTTGTGTAAATAATTTTTGTCGAAATCAAAGCATAATTAATCTTTCTCTTTACAGTAAATGCACGGCCCAGGTATCAAAAAACTCGTCTAGTATCCGATCATGTTTGTGTGTACTTTCGACGTATTTCACTACAGAGATAACGCTGTTGAAGACTCCGGTCAGTGGCAGTTCGGCTCCTGTGCACGTTTTTCACCTACAAGGCGTAAACATAGATTTGATCTGACGTTAAAGAAAGTAATCTGCAGCCTAATTAATTTCATGTAACATCGACAGCTGTCATAAATTCAAAATTAAAATTTGGACAAGTTGTCAGTATCCATTATATATTTTCAACACAGCCTGAGAGATACTTTTTTTTTTCCAAGATGAGACTCCCATAGTATTTGAGTTGAGTTCAAGAAAGAGAGGAAAACCGACACAATTTCTTAATTAACTTTATTCGGTCGGTTTGACGGGTTTCTTCAATATGTATCCCCATTTCCTTACACATTTCGAGATTTGGATTTGGATTTTTTTTTACCTCAAAAGCAAAAATAAACTTCACACATCATTTCATGATACACGTAATTGTAATTAACGCAGAAAAGCTCATTACAGCTTAGATATACTGCTAACAATGAACAATGACGGTCGTTAGAGAGAATTTCAAACTGCCTGCACAATAATTTGCCTCCATTTTGCAATTAATCGCGTAAAACGTATGTAATCAGTGATCAGATGAAGGTGAGAACAGCTCAGGCTTTGTGTTAAATTTTAGTTAGCTCCTAGTAATGCTCAATTTTGATTTACTTTTATTTTTGTTGTGCTTGTTTGTTTGCTTTTTCGGTTTTGATTGACAAATGTTACGCGTGGTTTAAGTTGTAAAAGCGTTTAGCCCAAAAATGAGGGTGTTTATCGCTGATCTCTTTGACACTAATGAGCTATTTATGTTTCAACACTCCTCCATTCCATTAGCCGGCAGAGCAGGCGTGATTTTGGTGAGCGAGTGCGTAGATTTTTCTCGGTGAAAATTTTTAGCGGCCACATCGGATATTTACAGTAGCGGAGGGCTGGGGAGAGAAAGAAATTTGTACCAAGGGAGTGAGCGACAGTCAAAAGTATGAAGAGAGGAGAGGGACGGGGCATCAGAACCATTGCTGTTTGGGCTTAATTTGTTGGCAATTGAATAAGAATTTCATGTTGAACGTATTTTACTTATGGTTACTCCTTCACTCCACAGAGGAATTCCAGAGAGCTGTCCGTATCTCAACAGGGCAGACATTGGACCCGTATGTAGTTCACACGGTATTTCAACTATTCGATAAAGACGGTGAGATTTTCATTTTTGTACTTCGTGCAGGGGAGACTCGCTTTACGACCTTCCACCCGCCTCGTATTACGAACACTTCGTGTATTACGACCTTCTTGTGCTCTCCGTGGGAATTAAAAATCAAACCCTTTCTTGACTGAGGTGCTTCATTACCACGACCAGCGCTTTTGATATATACGAACAACTCTCCACTCTTTCATGCTCAGCACACTTACCGCTTGCATTCATAACCCGTTCTTTACACACCTTCTTAGTTTGAACCAAGTGTCAGATGGCCAAGGGTCATGTTAAAACTTACGCTCCTAAGATCTAATTCGTAATTTTCCTTACACACATTTCCCTCTTTGCCTGTCGCAGTTTCCGTCGTTGTCATCTTTTGCTGTATAGTGGATTAATAGTGTAAATGAAAGTTATTTGTAAATCACATCAGCAAATTAAAGAAATAACTTAATATTTCCAGCCCAGTGTATTTCCTTGCCGAAGAACACAACACACGAGGCTTGCAATTCGGATGTTTAGATCCATGATAGTGCGAAGGTGGTAACTCTCAGCCCATGAGTTCCTTTGCGAGGATAACAAGGTGTTTTTGGGAGAAATTCAAGTTTGCCTCCACCTCCAGAACTACTCGTACTGGTACAAGCAGCGGTTCTTTTTGAATTAGCAAGTAATGTAACGTCTCTTCGTTATTCTTCAGGTGATGGTAAACTAAGTTATAGCGAGTTCATAGAGTTGATGAAGGATCGCCTCAAGCGTGGATTCATGGTAAGTGTTTTAGTTTTGGAACACAACTTTAACATCTTAAGGTCCACGTTTACGTGGCTCGTAGCGTTGTATGACGCGCGTTTTCTCCGCGCACGAGATGACATGAGACGATTCTGGGAGAGATTTACCGCGAGTCTGGCACTGATAATCAGTGCTAAACGCCTTGCTGACTTCTCGCGGGCTCGCTTAGCTCGAGGCCTTCAACTTTCCCGCATTTGAAGAAACGCTCGAGCTGAAGCGCTAATGACGAGGTTCTCCTCGCAGAATAACGTTAACTTCGGTAGAGAAATGTCAAGAGATATTATTTCTAGATAATAAGATAATCTTAGGGTTATCTTGCCGCTGAAGCTTGAAGCCGCTAAGAAGTGCGCGATCGTTTATACAACCGGCCATGTTTGCAGGATAAACGTGTCTCTCCAACCTTTTTTTCGCTAACGTGCGTTGTCCCTCCAACTTTAAATTTCGGACGTAAGGTGGATACTTTTGTGTGAATGAACACATCTTGCCTGAATAATCCTAAGACGCTTATTCGTTTAAAAAATTAATTTTCCCATCACGGTACGTAATACTTCTTTTGCTAACATTACACCTCATATAAACGTAGCCTCGACACAAAATGAACTAGATCTTACTTTTATGAGGTAAGCCGCCACCAGAGGGCTACCCTTCTTTCAAGTGAATAGGGCTTCGTAATTTCATACGGATTTATTTACAACAATTCCAAGAAAAGAAAGTAAATGTACAACTGTCAACTATGATGACCTAGTGTAACAATTTTAATGTTGCATGATGACCGCTTTCGAGGGTCATTCGTATAGGTGACCTGTATCTACGTATTCCATACTGATTATTGTGTTTTATTTTAGTAAGTGTGACCTACATGCACCTTCAGAGAGAACTTGTGAATGATTCATTGACATGTTGCAATATGCGTACTGATTCATGCAAACAGATAAAGTTTTACTTTAGGAAAAGATAATCTTCGAATTCGGGAGATAGTGGACGCCCCCCTTCCACCCAAAAAAAAACCTTTAAGAAGCATTGGCGGGGGTACTAGTGCAAATAATGCACTGTTTAGTAGTGAAGGAGTCTGTTCATCTGATCCGGACGTTGCATGTAACTTCAAATCCCAAACAGGTCAAGCTTCTCTTAATTCTGTGAGTTAATTCCAGAAAGAATGGTCAATTCATAGGGCGTTTTGGTCCATTGCATAGCTTAAAACTTGTTGGGACTGGTCTGTAGAGTTGATAAAGGCTTCAAATCAACCGAACATTGATTTCTTTGAAATCAATAATTCATTCGTTTATTTGTACATGTGACGTAGGTAAGACATAACATACAAAGTAAGGTTTAAGAATGAAACTAGGGAAGAAATTGTATATATCATGTATGTACCGCTATTATTCAAGGCTAACAAATATGAATATTCACTAAATACTTAAAAAAGCTGCTCTTCCAATCGTCTTTCTGATCTTAATCAAAATCTTTCTCCTAACTTCCGGTTTTAAAGAATTCCATTCTTTAGCAGTTTATTCGTGTAAAAAAATTCCTTTTGAGATAAAGAAGACCCCTAGGCATATCAAGAATGAGTCCATTCTATTCGAAAAAATAAAGTTACCTGTACTCTTAGCCAATGCATTTTGATGTTTTGCAAGGCAGATTCTCCCGAAAAATGTCTTCGCCAGGTTTTCCAGGTTTATCCGAACGCAATCTTTTTTAATTCACCTCTGATTAAGTCCCTCTTTGCCCCAGCTTTACCTCTCTGTCTCTGTGATCTGTTTGAGTTTTCGCTTCAGGCGTTAAGGCGTGGATACTATACTTTGGTGATCCCAATTAACTCCTAAGATTTGATGTATTTGACAGTTCTCCCTTTCGGCTGCTCTACTTAACAATTGGTTCATACGTTAGCGTGCGTTCATCGAGATATGAAGCACGCGGGAAGTTTGGAGAGCACGAAAGATGCGTAAGAGTTGCTCTTGGCGTAGCCGAGAGCAACTCTAGCTTCTTGTTGTCTTATTCTTGAAGAGAATTGGGAGTTGCATCAAGATAACACCGTCTGTCAGATGAGTTTATCTATTCCTATCATCTTCTTGTTGTAGAATGTACTGAAGTCGTTAGATGAAGTTACATTTTGGTCATATATGGGCGTGAAAGGGTTAATCACGTGCCAATAGTAGCGGCCTTGTAATTGTTTTCAAATGAGAGCTCATTTTTACAGCTTCTATTTTTTTCTTTTCGTTATTTCTTTCTACCTCTCCCTTTTTCTTTACTTTTTGCTTGACCCGTTCCTTTTCTTATCAGTTTTTATCAAGCACGGGCAGGTATTCTGGCAGATATATTTTCTGTAATAACAAAGCTTAGTGTTGTTGTTTTTGGCCGTTGAAAGTGATGCTAATCCCTCTGTAACCTACAAAGTAGCGAAAAATCAGCTCATGGTTGCCTCTTCATAAGAGCATGGGAAGACCTGTAAGACGAAATGACCGGCGCCGGGTGAATATTTCCCCAGATGAGCGAGAGGATCCAGGGTTGAATTTGAAGCATTTATGCGGGTCCTCAACTGATGAATGTGATGAACCTTTTTTGTCAATAGGCACGGTGACGAGGAACTGGCCATAACATGTTGATACTTGTCCGTTTGGTGCCTCCGTGGCTCTTTAAGTAATTCCAGTTGTGGAAACAAAGCTTACCCAGGGAAAAGGAGGCTTTATTTAATCTGATTCTTCCGTTATCAAAGTGATGCAATGACCTTTTTCTAGAGATTTTAAAGAAAGTCTAGCTTTAGTCCAAATACCAGCACGTTCGTGATTCAAACTTTCCTATCGAAAATACAGAGTTGGCTGAAGCTTAATCATTGAGTAAAGAGATGTCGGTGTTTTCAAACCCAATTTTGGACTCTGCCGTAACTTAGTGTCTGTGCATCGTAAAATTAAGCCTGAGTATTGTTCTTCATTTGCAATGCGGGAAAATTTTCCTCATTCCCAACCATTCTGGTTCCTTCTTCCCTTTTTGAGTTATTTTTCCTCTTTACGGTTTTTCACTGCACTAGCAGATGATTTCACGTATTTTGAGCCGTCCTTTTGGGGTTTTCTCCGTGACTCTGTTCAATGTGTCGTGATATTGTGGTTTGAGTGAGACTTGAAACTCAGGAGGGTGTCTTAAAATTATAATATTTCCCTCTTATTGTCGACAGAAGGGAATCCTTCCGCGAACGTGGTTCTCAACAACAAGGGACTTTGCCTAGAGTGTTTTGATTGTCATGTTTATCCGGAAGTGTCAAAAAAAAAACACTCGGAAAAACTTGAGTCGATTTATTTTTTCTGTTCACAGGAAGCACAGTGTGTCAGCACAGCAGTTTTTAAGCGTTTTACAAATGTTCACACGTAGATACAACTTCCGTGGTGCTGTTCAAATAACAACACTTATGTTCCTTGTTTGTGAAAATGTCAACGGGTAGCGAACACACGGGTCTAATTATAAGCGTGACGGGAAGTCATCAACTTGCGTGACAAGTTTAGTTTCAGTACCAAATGCGTTTAGTCACACTTGAGCTATAACGCCGGTTGATAGTATTGGTGTGAGTTATTCATCGTATTTGACAGGTCTCTTCAGGCTCAGTGGTTTAAGTGTGAGCTCTTGTCGTGTTAGTAAATCTCTTCAGTACTGTATCTTTTTCGTAGCCCTCTTGGCATTTTGTCGGAAGTTTTTCAAGTGTCTTTATTGCCATTCTTCGGACCGTTCTCGGTCCTTGATTGTAGAGTGAATTGTGCAGTGGTAACTACTCAACTTTTAAATCACATTTTTCTCAGTAAAATCTCTGTTGCCGTCGGAATTGGGACCTACTTCGAAGTTTCTGTACCTTTTTAAACTCGTTTAGGTCAAGTGTAATCTCTGTGAAGTGTTAATCTATGTTGAAACTATTTAATACCTTTTTTTTTTCTTCTTATTGTCTTTTTTTTCCAATTTCGCTCCGAAATGATAAGTACTTATTTTTAATTTTATTGGCACTCGAGTATGTGGTATGTGAGGTGTTTATTTTCTGATGTGTTCCTTCGTCGGAATGCTTTGTGCCGCCACTGATGTCGTGGAGTTTTGTATATAAACACAATTGTATCCTTGCAGTGAATTTATGCAGCGTAATGTAATAAAAACTTATGTATCCATCAGGTATCAAATCGTCTTCGTTTAGGTCAAATGTCGAAACTAAATACATTAATCTTGTAATGTATCTATTTCAATGACTGATGGCGACGCCTTATTAGCAGTGAGATGAACATAAAGTGTCACAGTCATTTCCTGTCTACAGATCGCCTTGTGTGGCATGGGATTGATTGAAGTATGGTACTAATTTGTGACTTATGACTTAAAGAAGAGGTGCGACCGGTTATTCAAAGTGGCATCTTAGTGAAATCTCTTATATAAACAGGTCCCGGCGTCAGAGAAGACAGGCTGGCAGGGATTCAAGCAGTGTATCAAGAGAGAGATGTCCTTGTAGCAAGGTCGGGGACTAGCTGTTATTTATTAAAATTTTCCTGGTTTGGCGTGAACTGTCAAACAAACATAGTGTTTGCAACGCTCTAGATAATGAAAACTGAATTTCCTGCATACGAATGGAGGAAATCAAACTAACGTGCATGTAAAATGAATTTCAAGTGAAGTAAAAGATTTCAAAGATTTCCTTTTGTTTCAGTTATATTTGACCAGTGTTGGTTATTCTATCGCGAAGAAAATACTTTATAATCAACGAAACCGAGTGTACACCCCAAATATTTGCATGGCAGTTTCACGGGTTTCAAGGCTTTTAATGTTTATTTAACTGTAACAAAATCCAAACATTAGTTTTGTGTTCCCAATTTAAGACTGCTGAATTGTTTCGTGTTTGGTTCCAATGGTTCCACAGAAATTGGATGAAAATGGATACCCCTGATAGTAATTGCCTTCTTTCGGCTTAAATCCCCGAAAAGATACGAGTCCTGCTCTTACGTCCAGTGATACAATGTTTGTTACAACAAACTTCAATTATACTTGTTCATGTAATTAACTATGTTCGATGGAGATGATAGACCTCGATCACCACTCACCAAGAAGTGTTGACAAGACCATCAAGATGTACACCACTAACAGGTACATCTGATGACATCTGCTCCCAGAAAAACGTTATCATTCCTCTCCGGAAACGACTATTAATTAATGATTAGCGGCCATTAGTGTCGAGTGTGGCATGATAATGAACACGCTATGATTATTAATGCATTATGCACTGGAATCACAAGATGTCTTGCTCTCGTGGACGAGGGCAGCAATTAAAGGGACAATGATTTATTGTCCTTGCCAAGCGGAGTCCAGATTGCGTGTAGTCGTGGTCTCATTTGCGGTTTACCCAAGGAAAGCAGTGTTTTTACGAGGTGATCGGTAAAACAGGATAATGCAAGGGGCGGCAGTAGACAAACATTCTTACTGACAAGTCTCAAGTTCTTATCTCAATTAACTATACCTTTTGGATTGTTCTAGATGACGTCATGAGGTTAAGTGGCGGGCTAACGACATTCAGCGTTTGGCAAAAAACAGGTCTGCTCCGAGCGAATTGTGATCGCTCACTCAGAGAATTTAGTTGTTTGCATCGAGTTGCCTAAAGCCGCCTTAAGAAGGAAACGATCACTCGAGAGTTCACCAAAGATTGCGTGTATATTGAGATTATTCGCCTACTCGCCCCCCTTAAATCGTCGACTCGTCTAAGCTCGAATGGTAAAGCCGCCTAAAGCCTTTAATCATTCGATCAATTTGTCTCGAGAATAGCTTTGAAATTCTTGCGTATATGCCACATAAGATGGATATATCGCTATTTATTTTCAGAGGAGACCGCGAGCGGTTTGTGTAGGATGCGAAAACTGTTCCCTCTTGTCTTTATCGCACGAATCCCATCAGTGCATCACGCAACGGTAGCAAGAGCTGTCTGGGGTTGAATCAGATTTCTTGAAGTCACATTCCATCGCTCTCCTCAAGTGCGCGCGTTCTGTTGATTATCAAGACACATATCAACCTTGACTCGTGGTGATCTTACGTAGGGTATTCAGTGACCACTGTGGCGCCCGTATGGCCATGTCAGTCTCAGTAGCACTTCCTTTCTATACGGCATCTTTGGCCCTTCTTATTGCGTTCGGTATCCTACGGTTTCTATTCTGTACCTTGGTGTTCCGAAAGCTGGTCGTTAAACTGTTCATCAAGTTTGCAGGATGTGAAATCAGCCAAGAAGTGTACGGTAACAGTTTGTTTGGATGGGAGATGTATAAAGCGGTGACGGCCGCTTTGATGACAGATCTGCAGAAAAAAGCGAAGCTCGGTGCAGAAGCACCAAATCCTTGTGTTGTGTCGGCCAACGGCCAGTTGCGTTCAAATTTATTAGACTTCGCCAAGAAGAGCAGGCCGTTGGTGGTGAATTTCGGCAGCTGCACTTGCCCTTTCTTCATGGATAGGCTGAGAGACTTCAACGAGATCACGGCGGATTTTAGAGATATAGCTGATTTCGTCGTCATTTATATCTCCGAAGCGCATCCCTCAGACGGCTGGGCTTTCAAGGTAATAATAAAAGCCAAAATTTATTTCTGAGATACCCAATTTGTTGTATGATCCTAGCAAAAATGTTACTTTAAAATCGGGGCATAGGTTACCGACTAGTGGTGGCTTCAAACTTTATCTCATTCTACCACGCGCTTAGATCCGTAGTATTGTAGTGTATACGTTCGTATATACGTATTTGAATTCGAAGAACCGTGAAATTAGACTATACAGTTTGCTGTCTGTAGAGGAAGCCCTGTTTGAATAGTTAATTAGTGAAGGAATGAGCTCGGACTTTGCTCTGACTCATATATTCTTTTTACATCACGATCTAGACTGACTTCCACGTGAAACAGCATCGCACTCTAGAGGAAAGAGTCCAAGCAGCTCAGCTGTTTCAGGACGCGTCTAAGCTAGAAACTCCAGTGTTGGTGGATTGTGTAGATAACGAAGCGAACCAAGCGTATGGCGCACTGCCAATCCGACTGTGTATTATCTTAAATGGAAGAGTTGAATTTGTTGGCGGGATGGGTCCGACATTTTACAGAACACAGGAGGTCAGACGATGGTTAACGAAATGGAGGGAAAGTGAATTGAACGTGTAACCGTAGTCCTATATACCTTCACAATTATTCGAAGTAGCACAGTGAGATACAAGGACGAACACTGAAAACGAAAGTTCAAGCACGTGTATCGCCTTCTTTCACTGTCGCTGTATCACTTACAGACAAGAATATCATGAACAACTTTATAAGGATTGTAATCAAGGGGCTAGTGACGACCGCACGACAAACACTAGCCGAAAAGCCTAGAGCTACATACCCTGTACGCTCGTAGGTTATCATATTCAGTAGACCTGAAAATCTGAATGCTGCCGTAAAGGCGGGTATGGAAGATAAATTTGACACGAACGTTCTCACATGCTTCACTCGAGAAGACAATATTTAATAACCATACATAATTATATTACTCTCGTTTCGTCGTCATCAGAGTTATCATAAGTTTTTATTCAATACAGAATTTCTATTGGGTAAAAGGTAAACAGTTTCTTTTAGTTTCAGTTGTCCTTTGCGAGGTTTATATTACCTATGTTGTTCCCTACAAAGGCAATGTCACCAGTTTCGTGGTATTTGCCTGAAGGTTAAAGGAACGAAAATACGATACAACTATTTTAATCTTGCCCTGTGCGGTCATTGCATTTGTGTTGTATAACAAAACAAAAGAACAAGGTGCGAAATATAAATAACAGCTAAAAATTGAATCTTGCTGCGAGTCTTAATCCCCTAACCTCGTTCGGCGATCATTTTTTACTTCACCTTAGAATATACAAACATGAAATCTAATTACGCGATTTTCAAGCCATCATAAACCGCGGAAAGTTGGTAAATGTCAGGAGACGTCAAGTTGCATTTTTTTTGTGAAGGTTGTTTATCGCAAATCCGGAAAAAGGTACACGTTTGGTTGACACTTTCAACTTGACCGGAAGATTAGTGTCCGTGGAGTCAATCCTAGATGATGAAATATAACATATTGCCGAGGAAATACCTACAAAACTAATGCTATGAAGTGCTACAAACAAAGCTCTTTGTTTAATTATAAGTTGTTTTCTTGTTGAATGACCCTGGAGGGTTTGCAAGCATGAAAACGTTTGCACCTCTGCAAAGTTGGCATCACGCGATGATTTTCTCATTGAACGCCACCGCCAGAAATCCAAACACGGGTGATTTGAGCTCACCGGGGAGAGCTCTCGTATTACGTGCGATAATCTCTGATTGTCGAGACCCTGTTTAGAGAGAAATGTTTACGAAATTCATCGCGTGACTATCGAGTCTGGTAAACAGCCTTTGTTTTAGCGCGTGTGCGCGAGATCATTTAGGAAGTACCTCCTCATCTCTTGATTTACGATCTAACGATCGATTGGCCGAGTGTTGATGACTGAAAACCCCCACTTGAGAAGAGTCGTTTTTCTCTAAGTGATTTCTCTCGCTTGAATCCATTTGCGGTACAATTCTTTGGCGACGACTGATTGCTTTCGCTAATCTACATTGTCCTTGATCACGTTTCTTAGCTATAGGGCTTCAAGCATGGCATTGTTTGCTTGAACAGTTTTTAGTGTACTTCCTTTTTGGCTGGGAACCCAGTCGTTTAATAATTACTGTTCAAATTTCGATCAAATGCATCATATTGTGACACATTTCAGCACTCACAGAATAAAATGCCATGCGAAATCTGGTGAAAACACCGACTTCCGGTGTCGAAACGAATAACATCGTGAAATAAACAAATTAAGAAAAATAGTTTGTCACGGATGAGAGAGATCGTACCGAATTGAGAGAAAATTTCCAATTTTTTTTATGAAAGTAAAGAAACCAGTGTGAAGCTGTTGAAGAGACTTTAAAACTTTGGAAAAACCGCCTAAGAATAATTTCAATTCTAGTTCATTCATTATCTGACATTCGAGTTAACCTCGCGTGATAGATACATTACGATCGCGTGAATTTGAACCTTACGTCATAATTTGTCCAATTTTCTCACGAATGTAGCTTTTTACCTTCTTATCTGGTTGCTTGTATCACGTCTGAAACGCAAAATGTTTTCCTTGAACTGGTCTTCATAAGGAATTACCTTTTAAACCTTCCGGTATTTTTTCAGAGTATATGATTAATATTTTCTTTTTGTCTAGAAGATGCAAGACGGATAGGTAAAAAACCGCCGAATTAGAATTCTTGTAGATGGATTTTAAAAGAATACTTGAAACTATAAGCCTTAGCTATGCAACTGGTACTTCTGTTGTCATAAATCTCCTCTATGCGAAAAGACTGATACGAAATAAGAAAAAAAATGAATATTTTTCAATTGGCAAGTCGCTTCTGAGATCTTTCACTGTTTTAAAAGATGGCTTCTACTTTGAGTCAGGTTCACCGTTTCGTCTATTATCTCAGACGATTTAAAGGGATGGTATATTTTTTTTTTGCACAGAAGATTCCTTGCAAGTTTATATCAGCTTTCGTAGGAAACGGCTTTAGAGGAAGTTGTAAACATCTTTCGATGTCAAAGGGTAACTAGATATTTCTAAACATACATCCCTGGAATAGAACCAAACTTTGTTTCATGCAAGGACCCTCCTTGTGAACAAAACTAAAAAAGCGCTAGCAAGACGCATGCAAGAAGTATAGAAGTATCCGGTTTTAAGTTCAAGTCATTTCTTGACCGTTGAAGGATTGCTTCATTAAGAAATCAAAGAAGCGATAAATCACAGACTGGTTTTGGAGATGAGGGCAAAAAGGGGGCAAAATTAGTGATTATCTCTCTTCTCCAGCTCTCGTGGTTTTCCCAAATTACGTGCTTCCAAAACAGAAAACACGACCGAACTATTTATAGAAGTTATCTTTTATTGATTTATAAACAGTAGAAGCTAAAAAAAAGAGGGAGCATTTATTTATTCCTCCGTAAAGACTTCCAGATGTGAATTTCTCAGTTCGATGGTTTTAATTTTGAAAGACTTAATTTGGTGATGATTACCACAAACACTGGCCGTTTCAATAGATATGATAAAAATAGACCGTTAATTCAAAAAAGGGCGATAATTTGACTACAAGAGAGGAGTATAAAAAGCATCTGCTCTGATGTCGAATATGGAAGAAAAATGCTTTCAGCACTTTACATTTAAACAGCAGGAGGCACACTTATGGTTGCTGCTTTGTTGCGCCGCATAGAGCACGACACATATGTGTATAGCCAATGCAAATGTTGTTACGTTCAAAGGTGTTGGTTATCGAGGAGTTGAAGCACTTGAATCAAGCTATCCACGCATTCTTGGACACGGCAAAAAAGCCTCTCTCGCACCTGTGCCTTTCACTTTACCACACAAACTAAGTTGCAGAGAAAAAAAATCTAAAAAATTTGAGCCACTGAAAAAGCGCAATTTTTAATTTAAAATATGTCGAAAATTTAATTTAGGTAGTCAGAAACTGAAACAGGAGTTATTTTGTTATGTACACAACTCCCGTCTCATGGAAATGTGCGATAAACATTTCACGACAAGAAAAGTAAACACAGATTTGCTTTATAAAGGGAAAATTATTTTATAACTAGTTTTCAACCCCTTCAAGATAAGATGCACTGCTATAAATTTTGGCTAAGGCCCGAAAATGTTGCAATCAACAGCAGTTGATGATTTTTTTCAGCTTCTAATAACTATAAACAAATTAATTTTAACTCTTTGCGAGGCCTGTATGAGTTGTTCAAACATCGCGTGATTTCATTGTATCTTTCATCAATTCGAGAAAGTTCAAAACAAAAATATTTCACCCATAAGCTTTCATACCGGGAAAACAAAACAGAAGTAACTGGAGAACTTGCTCCTTCTTTGCAGAGTTTGATTAAAAAAAAGTTGAACATATCGTGCAACTGAACAAATGATTTCAGTGAGAATACTTTGATCGCGTGACCTCAATCTTCGACAATTTCGCTTGTTCGCTGAATGACGTAATCAGAACACGACTGATCACAGCACACTGCGTGTAAGCTGGACACAAGGGGTCCGTCAAAACAAACTTCCCACAGAGCTTAAGCGACAAAGGAAATGAACTTAACTGCGATCTTCCTTCAGCAGATTGTAATCTCGCACGCATAGCGACCTACAGTCAGATAAACAAGGAAAATTAAAAGGGAACATTTCTCGATTGCGGTAAATATTGATCTACGCTTGTTTGCATTTGAGTGGGAAGCGTCCGACTTTCAGGCACCGAACTGCTAACACATAGTTTGCAGTGACATCAACTCAAAGATTCAAACTGCGACGCTGGCCATCAAGGGTATTTGTATTGAAAATAGGTTAGAGACGCAAAAATGTTCTCTTTTACTGATTAAGTAATTTTGTAGGAGGGAAAAATCACTCCAAATCGATTTCCCCTTGTGCCACTTCAAATTGTTTTGTTTTAGGCCCATCGCCGTCATCGTTTCATTGTTTATCACTCAGTTTCAACGATTATTAACACGTAATTTGTGTCAAAAGGAACATAAACCTCACTCACCGCAAGTCACGATACCGATTAGATTAAGTCTTCTTGCAAATTAGTAATTATGAAACGCGCGCAAATTCTAACATGTCTTTTCTCGCTACGATACAAAAGCAAAATTTAAACTAGGAGCGAAATTTTGCCACAGGTTCGTTTGCGGACAGCGCGCATGATTGACAGCCCGTACGCAAACAAAAAATCTGCAAGGTCTTGCAAGAGTGCTGGCTAGAATAACGTAATTAAAAAATACTCTAGCAGCGATTCTGGAAGGTTTGCAAACCGTTCTGGAGTGATGGAGACCCCTTAATCCACACTTCTCGTCCACTCGTAAAAGTGTTCATCGAACCCGACTGAGTCGAGCTGCTGCTAAAAGTGCTAATTTGATCGATTGATAGACACTGAGCCCCTACTAAAGAATTGCAAACATTTAAACAGTTGCCATTGCCTTCCGGCTCTCGGTCTCAACTACAATGTTATTAATTAAGTGAATTCTGCGAGTTATTTACCGGAACACTGTAATACGCGTGCCACAAAAGTTGGCAAAAAGGATCCGAAACGTGTCTAGGAACTGGAAAAAATCTGCGGATTGCATGGATTCGTTGGCCAAACCAAAGGATTACAGAGGGAGAAAACAAGCTCAATCAGATTTTAGATATTTGAGGTGGACAACAAGTTGACTTAACCCTGGGCTGCCTTAGGAGGCGGGTAAAATCAACATGGGCTATAGTTGTAAATGCACGCAATCTGTCTTAATCACCTGGAGGTGACAGTCCAATCAGAGTTCACTTCATAGCACGATAAAAATTCCTTTTAGAGAAAAATTTGGGGGAGCGGGTTGGAATGTACCGCTTCGCTGGCTCAAACCGGGCAATCGTGTTGAAATCGAGAGGCGTAAAGTACGTCAAAGGACTCGTACACTTGGAATAGACTAGTTAACACGCGTTTTATTTACATTCGTGTTTTCGCACGATGGAATGACTAGTTGAGCTACAAAGGTTCCCTTTCATCGATTATTATACAGAGCTTAGAATTAAAGTTGTCGCGACCGTCTAAGACGCTGTTTCTACAGATCAGTGACTCAACTGCTTGTAAGTAAGTTAAAAAAAAACATTGCAGTAACGCGGTCTACCACGGCATCAAAACACGTCAACAAAATCTCTTTGTTTGTTACTACCTCGAATCTACCTTAAATATAAGTGTTTCTTTCGACATCGTTCTTGGTCATTGTTCGAAACGTTTGAAGCGAGGATTCCCAGATCTTTTCGTTGATGCATTGTTATAAACTTCCGGTTTTAGTCATTTATCCTAATTGTATTTCCTTGCGTGGCTTTTTCGATGGAGATGCATTTGTCATTAGAGTCTTGTTTGTTCCTTGACGCAGTTGTTCCCAATACTTTACGCCCGATGACGGCCAGTTTTCATAAACTCAACCTTGTATTCCTTAAGCCACTGTCTCACATTTTGTGGGTCGTAGAATGTCGGTCCAGCTAAACCAGCAAATTTCACTTTCTTGTTCTTTATCACGTAAAGTCTGATAGGTAACCCAGCGTATGCATTATTAGCTTCATTCTCCATTGTATCTATCATTATGGGACAGTTAAACTGCACAGAGTCCTGCATGAGCTTTGCGGCTTGGCATCTATCCTCTAAGGTCTTGTGGGTTGAAATTTCGACGTTGTTCTAAGTATGAGATGGAGAGATTTAGTCAGTTGACGCGGGTATCTATATCATTTGGCAAAGGTTGCACTTTGACAGTCACTCACATAAGGAAACTTCTAAGGGGCGTGCACATATGATTTTAATTTATCTAGGAAACTGAAAGGAAATAGTTTTTTTAAAAGACTTTGTATCTCACCTCAAAGGCCCAACCGTCCGTTGGATGAGCTTCCTCGACGTAGATAGAAAGGAAATCAGCGACATCACTGAATTCTTGCACTACGTTTAGAAATTCGCCCACCCTTGCTCTGAAAACTGGACAAGTCCAGCTGCAGAAGTTGACAACTAGTGGACGGCTCCCCTTGCAAAAGCTAAGCAGTCGAATTTGCGACTCTCCGTCTAAGGAAACTAGGAGAGGGTCCGGAGCAGTGTGGTCCTTTCTTGCAGTTTTTTGCAGCTCGAGATGGATGGAATTGCGCACAGATTTTAACATCTCCCAATTGAACAGTGAATTCCAGTACATTTCCTTTGGCAGAGGTACTACCGATATCAAGTCCATCATTTTAATAACGATCGATCTCGTTCTGGGAAAAATGCTGAGAACACGTAGGAACGAAAATGCCACTAAGAGAAGCAGTGTTGTCGCGCAATGCACAAACGCGCTACTGCTCATTTTCCGCGACATATTTTTTCCTCGACGAAGCTGCAGAGCTGGCGAGTCAAAGCTCGTGTGTATCTCCTCTCGAACACTTTCCCTGGGTTTGAGGACCGCAATGACAGCGTATTTATACAGCACCGAAGGAATGTCAGTAATTTTGTTTCTCTTAAAAACACTCATTCGACAAATCTGACCTCACTGATGAACTTTCGCGTGACGTTGACGCGGAATTTTTCTGTGCTGGCAGGTGCGGTGTGCAGCTCTGGAACCAATGAAACCCAAACAGACAGACTTGCGCAACTTTGTAGGACAAATTTTGTCTCCCTTTATTCAAATAGCGCATCTGTAGTCACAATACAAATATGATGTTTAGCTATTTGCGATCAAATTGGCGCCGACAATTTCTCTGCGTGCGTAATGTGGTTTGATTTATCGTGAGTGCTGTGTATGCTGTCCGATGCCTTAGCGAAAATTGACCCCCATTTATTCTGGAAACATTGCGCCTCACGGAATAGTGATTTTTCGTTTAAGCCTCTTTAGTTCAAGCACTACTTTCTTGTTATTTAAAGCTGTGCGTGTGTTTCAATCAAGTTTCAGTTGTCATCGCTGAAGAGTGAAGAGTTCTTGAAAAAGTTGTTAATCTGACGTTCCCTATTTAGTCGTGTTACTGATTTTCGCAAGGCTTGCCACGAAAGCACACGACGCTTTGGTGCGTTAAGACCATGATGTTAATCGTCTAAACAGATTTTAATCGTAAATTTACAAGGACGCCTAAAAATAGAGAAATGTCAGACTTCTCTGCGGTGGTTTCTTTTTCCACATATGTGTTTTGACGTATTTTTTGATCTTTTTCGCATACCACGGTATGTAGTCTGTTAAAAATAGCCATTGGCTTTTGCGAGTTTCTCACTGTGCTCTATATTTGGGCATTTTGATGGGATACAAGCTTTCCGAACTGAAGATAAACCCATGTACCGTGGTAAAAGAACGCATGAAGGATAGTGAGAATATCTTTGCAAGCGAATGTGGACAACAGTTCAACAACTTGAATCAAAGAAATACTGTTTGGAGGAAGGGAAAATTTGAAAGAAGCATTAGTACGAGAGGAAACTTCGTGAGTTTAATGACATTATTCAATCATCTTTAAGTAATGCGCCATAAATTTCGTTTAGAAGGGAAATTTATGGCGCATAAAACTATTTTAACAAGCAGTGTTCATATTGAAAATAGCATGTAATACCTATAAACAATTCTGATGTATTGTGAACTGCAACTAACCTTGTCGTTTGGAACCTTTTGTGCAAAATATTCTTACCCTATTTGGAGTTGCTCTCAAATGTTGCAAATTATTTGAGGGTTTTTGTTACGGCCTATCGATTTTAAAGCATGTATTGTTTAAACTAGTATGTGTAGGAGTTGGGAGTATCGGTTTATAATGAAGTAGCTGTAAAAAGGAAAATTAAAGGTTCTGATACCACAGCCTCTTAAACTCTGAACTCTAAGAAACCTTTTCTGTATTTAAGATAATGGGCGGTCAAGAAAACCTTCTTGATTCTTGCTATCTGTGAAACTCCAGAAATTCGGAGAGTGTACGGATTTTACACAAGAGCATATTTTTGAACAATGAGCCTTAGCTCTAGTGATTTCCAAAAATCGAACGTCGCCTGAGGAAGTGTTTTGACGAAGCGTTCGCGTGACATCTGCTGCTTAACCCGGCAGTGTGTTCGTGCTGAAAACACACTTATCTTGCACGCAATGATGACGCTGCAGTCAACAAACCCTTGAATATGTTCACTTCTTTAATATTGATTCACTGCGATCATTTTGAAATAAGGAATATTGGATTAAAATGCGACAAGAAGAGACGCAAGTTTGGAAAAAAAAATCGTGATAATAACGCGCTAGACATTGATATGGGGTTAATACCTCTCCACAGCTAATAGACATAACAATGCTGTTTCGTTATCATCTCTCAGTAACGGTCACCGCGTTGGTTCAAGAGCAGAGTCAAAGTTCCTGCATTCCACATAAACTATACTTCATCGCTATCGTGGAAAATGCAAGGAATTCGAGAGGGTGTTTTTAATTCGCAAATGTTTTTTATTTTTCAGTAATTTGCTTCAAATTAAAATGATTCACCCCGGAATTCGGGCGGAATCGTCGAAGAATTTCAAAAAGGAAGGTTTTAATAGCCTTAGCAGAGAGACAGATTCTTCATATTACAATAAAGAGTTCTCTTTTTCAGTTGGGAAAACATGTTTCTGTCGGACAATCTCATTTACGCTTTAACTTGTTTGTCGAAGCAAACTCGCCATGCAACCAGGAGCACAAAACGAAGACCCTGTTTCTTAGCTGGACGTGACCTTCCTTTCAAATTAGACGCTACTCAAAACACGTTTCTCCATTTTATAACTGCCACAAGATGATCTTGACTTTTTCCGCCATTTTGCTTGCAAAGTATACAATGATACATCGGATAGGAATTTATTAATTAAAATATGTCACGTCATTTAATTACTTCTTACGTACAAAGTGATGGGAGGTGATTCAAACAGTGCACTTACACCTGGTGCCTCTTGACTTTTGATTACCCTCAAACACTACAGAACTTACGCGATTTTGATAGCGCGCGCGTTCTTTCTGCAAAAACGTTTGTAAAAGGACACAAGCAGCTCTGCCTCATAGGCGGCTTTCACAGTTACGCACAAATGTATGTACCACATGCGCCTCGAGGCCAAATTACGTAGAGTAATTTGTGCTTGTGTAGTAATTTATTCACAGCTTCCCTTTGAATAGTACAATGTTCCGACTTAGAACGTGACATTGAAACAGAACATTACCCACTATGCGTGGTCGTCACTTAGTAATATCTATGGACCTGACAACTGCAGTATCAAAATAATAGTTACAATATGTATGTATAATGTACAAAATTCTTCTTGTTTTACAATAAATTTATACCAGACTTGAAGATGCTTATGTACACCATTTCTTCCTTCAATTTTTTTTTAAAATTCCCACAGTAAATTGTCTTGGCGGCTTGTTTCCTCCAGACAATAATCCTTCAAAATACTACTTAATTATCAGACTGAAGTGGTCTGCGGTCAAAGCGTGCATACAGATTCAAATATTCCACGTGCGTCTAGCGTGCTAGAGCAAGAAGTTGTCTAAAGTGATACTAAAGTCCATTTATTTTTCCCGCGCATTTATCTACGCTCTGTGCCTGGCAGTTTTCGGATGAATTCTGATGTTCTGAAGCCATTGTCTTACTTCCTTAAGATTGTAAAATGTGGGTCCCATCCCCCCTGCGTATTGTATTTGGTTCCTTCTGATGATGTAGAGTCTGATAGGCATGCCAGCGTAAGCCTTGTTCGCTTCATTCGTCATGGTGTCTGCCAAAACTGGACAGATGAATTCAACTGAATCTAACATCATCTTTGCAGCGCTACATCTCTCTTCCTGAGTTTGGTGTTGTGGTATTGTGATGTTATTCTGCAAGACAAATCACGTCATTGTAAAAACGTTAGCCTCTAAAATATCTTATATGGACAATGATGTTTGCCCCGGAGGTTTTATTTCATTTTAGAGTTAAGTCGCTGTCTTAAATTCTTGGGAAAAATTTGCATTTAAGTGACGACTTAAAACGTGATGAAAATTTTGCCCCAAAGGTAATCAATCGAATGGTTGTCTAAACTGCGTTCACTTTTTTTTATTCCCGAACATTCTACAACTGAATGGCAATTGTGTGATTCTTGCATTAAAGGTGTCTGTCTGGGTGATCATTACGAATATTCTTGATTTATATTACTAGTATTTCTTTATCTAGGTCTGTCGCAATAGAAAATTGGTGGAACAATGGATCATCGACTCCTTAAAACTGACTAAATCACTCAGTCAATAGAACGTGACTGGAATCAGCAAATCTTTTTTATGAAATACAGATGTGGCTTCTCGTTAAATTCATGTACTTGATGGCTTGACCTTGAAACTGATCATTTGAACTTGGCAGTTACGCTAAGTTACATCAGAATCGTCTAATCTTTGTTATCTGATAACTCTTTCTGGCACGCGCTCACCTCCAATTTCCAACCATTGGTTGGATGGGCTTCCTCTACATATATCGTCAAGAAATCGGCCACGTCCCTGAATTCTCGCACGATGGAGAGGAACTCGTTCACCCTTGTTCTGAAAACAGGGCAGGTCCAACTGCCGAAGTTGACGACGAGAGGACGGTTGCCTCTGCAAAATTCTAAGAGACGATAACGTGATTTTCCGTCTACCGAAATGAGCTCGGAGTCTGGGGCGATTTTTCCCCAAGAAGCTGTCTTTTGCAGTTCGAGTAGCATTGACGAGCGTTTGGAGCTTAACATAGGCCATGTGAATAGTGAATCCCAATAGTCCTCCCTGGGCATTTGGATTGTCGAAATCTTGTTTACAAACTCTGAAATGATCCACTGTGTACAAGGAATGAGTTTCAAAAGCCGCAATACTGTAAACGCAAGCAACAGCACTGAAGTGCCGAGATAGTAGCACAAAAACATACACGTGCTGTAGATCATCTTCACGCGTTAGAACTGGACTGTCAACTGCACCGTGTCTGAGGTTCAACTGGAACGAGAGCTATACGAGTTGCACTTCACAGCGGGAGAATTTAAAGAATGTCTTTTATACCGACCTCTTACGTGATTTTTCAAATTTTTTTTTAGTCACAGCTCGAGCGTGCAATGCGGAAAATAGACATCAGGAGCTGAATGGATGTATCTTTAGCAAAGTCTTTGCTTCTTTTGCTATATTTGGCTCGGCTTACCTCTGGTATTTAGCGGTAACGCTTTTACAAACAAACTAAACACAACTGTTCGCAGCAGTACCACTCGGCATGCGCTAGACGCAGTGATGAATTGCAGGCCTGCGCTTTCTTGTTAAGTATATTTCAATGACCCCCATTTGTTCTCGAAGGCATGATGAGCACGCAACAAATTAGAATTTCTTTCCACAATAGCCAAAGATTTCTAATTCCATGAATCACTGTTAGAGGACAAAAATTTGATACGAAGCTGACAGAAAATTTTTCACGCTCATCTGCATTCCTATTCAAGGGCACTTAAGAGCGTGCTTGAAATGGAAAAGTTAGAGGAATCAAAACTGAACTTGCGATATTTCACGCTGAGATATGGTTTGCCAATGGTTCCACAATAAATACTTTGCCGCCAAGTTTTGCGTGATTTCCAATTTGTAAACAAATGTTATTTTCATCACGCGATGAATTCCGCAGGACTCACGCGAATGCACGCAAAATCTTATAGACACTCTGAGATGGTGCTGTTGGCTGTTTACTGTACAGTTGCTCGAGGTTTTTTACAAAAAGCGCAAATATTAAACACTTGCTTAACTCATAATTGAGTATTTGTGTGTCTTTTCCGTTGCAAAATTTCCTCACAGCATGACGCTCTTTTAAAGTAATCAAGAGCTTGCTTCAGTGCGCATGCTGGCTTGTTAGAAGCTTTCGCTACTCTCGGGACAAAACGCTAGCCGCGCGGAATGTTTGACTCATTGTGGCGCGCTTTTAGACGACAAATTGCAAAAACCACGTCAAAGGTTTAATGAGCTTCAAAAATAGACCTTCATGCCGCAAGTCATGAGTTAACTGCCTATGGGATGCCCAAGTGCAATAATGGCTGAACCGCAAAGTGATCGCCCTGCTCAGTTCTATAGGCAAAACCTTACAACTAGAAACTGAAAAATAACTCTCATACGATAAATGATGACAGAGTCCGTTTGAAATGTTTGTAAACTTGGTTTGATGGTTAGTTTCTGCAAGGCACGTTCGACACAGCGCGAACCTAATTTACTTGGAAGAAAGTAGTGTCTTATTTCCTGCTTTTCTGAAGCAGACCGGCGGAAGGAAGTTGCAACTCGGCCGCGGCGTTGAAGCCAGTCGAAAACGCTCTTCCTGCACGAAAACACGCACTTCTCGTTGAAAAAAATGGCCATGTGAAGCCGGGTAAGACTAACCTTTTATCTTTCTAAATAATGTTCCAATTTTACGGCTAGCACACAAGAAAAAAAAACACTATATCCGTTTTGATTTCCTCATTCATCCATGCATAATTTGGTGAAAGGAAAACGAAGAACGTGTGCTAACCAAGTCGTCTAGACTTAATCATTGAACCTTAGAAGCCCTTTTATTTGAGTGGCTCAGATACGATATGTTTGAAATTAAATTGAAGAGCAAAGACTTTCTCGATGAATGAAAGGCAAAGTAGACTATGTCAGTAATCAACTGTACCTTTACGAAATCTAGTTGTTACATCTCGCTTGGTCTCAATAATTTGACTGATATATGCTTTGTGCGTAAAACACGCGAACAGACCCTTTGTTCTCTTATCACAGTGCATAGTTCACCAACTTGGGCACAATAAATTACTCCGAAGATATGACATGTTTCTCTTAAGGAAGTCAAAGACTGCGAGAAACTTCGTCCTACGCGACAGAAGTACATGATTTGGAACATATTTTGGATACGGCTATGGGCACGGTAAATCATGGGCAAGTAGTGAAAGTAAGGTCTCGAAAAAAAAAGTCTCGAGTACGTTTTCTACCAACATCCACGCGGTTTCTTTATGTCAGTGCTCCCATAGAAATAAGTGATTTATTGCTTTTAAGAAATAAACAGCAATTACTTAAAGGTTTTAAATATGGCGACAATTCAAGAGCCATTAAGCAGAAAGCTAAATAGACCAAAACACCGAATAATTGGATGTGTAATTGCTCGGTGAAGTATTTTGACTGATGCAGACTTTCAACCCTCGCAGAAATTATTTGAAGTGATTTAATACATGGCAATGTTGACACGAGTATCACTTGCTTTTTGGCACGGGCCAAGGCGGCTTTGTATGATAAAACCACTTCATTGCCACAACTCTCATGTGTTTGATATTGAACTGCGACAGCGTGGCGTATTGTCTAAATTATCAAGTTTTCCTTGAAGCTGTTTAGTAGAACTGGGTTCTTATGTGACTGCGTGCCCCGTGCACAAGTTTATGGCAATTACAAACAACACAAGACAGTTTTTCCTTTCCTTTTTTTTTGCTTTTATGTCATTTTTTTTTATTAATTAAAGGTAAAAAAAACATTTGGTTTCCTCAATTTACGAGTACTCTTGACAATGACGCCCTTGAATTCTCTTTTGCGGCTTTAGTAATTACAATTATTAAACTATATTGGCTGCACAAATTGTTCCAGTCATTAGCTCTTTGCTAATTTTGCGTCAGTTTTGCACATTCTGCTCAAAAGGTAGTGCAATGACAATTACCTCTTTTCTTTCGATTTTTCACAAATTAGAAGGGTTTGGGTATGTTATGTCAGACACGCGAAGAACTCAGTCATGAAGCAAAGAGACTTTCTAGATTTCACTGAATGGGACGGGTGGCGGACAGTAATTCAGACATGCTTGATTGGGATCAGACCTTTCGACATTTGAGGAAGGGAGGTTCAAAGTTGCATTCCTTCCTCCCTCCTCTTGAGAGTCAATTTGTGCAACCCTTCAGCACTGTTGTGTCACGAAGAGCCAAGCCAAGAATATTTTACATCATTAAGTGTACGGATCGAAATGAAAAGTGAGTGATAACTCTCTTTTCCTAGTCAGCTGTAATGCTTACTTCTTTTGAACTGAACACTCCCTAAAGTGCAGACAAAAATGAGTGGTCTTAAACTTGGAAAAGCCGTTTTTAATCCGATGCAAACAAAAGGTACATTATGCGTGATTCAAAGAAGATCCAGTGTAATATAATCGAAGCTATATCTTACGAAGATGAAAAATGATTAATTTTTGTGCAACTCTTTTGCGATTTTTTCCTCCTGTCACGACGATGAAAATAAAAGTTCTTCGTCGTGGTACCGTTCGGTAATGAACATTTTTGGATCCTGCAGAGACTGGAAATAATTCCTCTATACAAAAACTTTTATCATCTTTAGATATTCTATTTTCGTTTGTGAAAAGAAAAAATGAAAAATTCAGGCACGAGTGGAATTTGAACCCATTTACCGTCGTGCGAAATACCTGGGTAGCTCTCTTACCTATCTACTTAGCTGTCGAGCCAACAGGGAAATACACAATGCTTTAATTTCGCAAACGCACCAAAGGGAACATATGCCGGAAAATCACGATCTTGTTTAAACTGTGGAATACAGATTTTTTTACAAGACAATTTGCAGTTGTAAACTCAATGCAGGAAACGAATTTCATGACCGATTTGTTCAGCGCTCTGATCAAAATGGGCTATCAAACCAACGAGTACTGGTGGGCGGTCATGGGTCGAAGTTTTGGCCACCGAAATATTCATTATTTTTATTTCAAATCCCAGCAGAGAAACGTTTTCCATCACTTATTTTTAACTGAGCTGGTTACTGGTACAATTAATTTTTAGACGGTCATAGAAATTGTAGGGGAAAAAGATAACTGCACCGACATGCGACTACTGGTCAACTGATTGATCATTTCAACGATTTTTAGCTGAATAAACATTGAATTCCAAGTCATTTTATTGAGCACGCGTATCGTGAAAGTTTTTACAACATGTCTTGATAATGAATTATTTTTCCATGGATGCGTTAGCCACCGTTGCCAAATCAATTTGTTTATCCCGTGAAGAAATCACGATTCTTTCTAAACCTATCCTGGAATGAAGCCAGTCCGACAACGAGTTACCGGCGGGGCAATTTTTGAAATTTGGCAACCTTCGAGGTCGCGAAATTTTCTTAACCTCTTTGTAAATTTCATGATGTTTGCGTTATTACTACAATCTCATTCACACATAAATACAACTGTTTTAATAATTCGGAAAATGGGAAATGCTGTAATTCAGGACAAAGGTGAACCCAAGGTGAAGAATTGTATGGCAAAAAATTACTAAAATTTAAATTTTGCGCAGTTTTCGCAATTCTTTTTAATTTTTGTAGTACCTTGTTGACATCTTGTTGGCATATTTTTCAAGTGAACTTTGAGCCTCAAAAGTGTCCTGTAACCTTACGAATTTTTTACCATTGTATCCTGAATATTTGTAGCCGCATTCAATCTGGGATGTAAATTCCATCTTTGCTCCAGTTGATTTTTTCTAAACATGGGCGAGTTCCTTACCCCCTACAAGTAAGCTATTCACAAAGGATTGGCACTTGATTAAAGGCTTAAAGATAATGGAAAAACCGATGCATCTCTCCTTCCTAATACGCTCCTTACATCTTTTTAACAATATCTACCCGCGTGATCAGTAGTCTGCTCTCAATTCGATCAACTTCTCTTCAAAATCTTATCACAGAGATTTATCTCCGCTCAATGATGATCTAAATCGCGTGAAATGAATCGTTTCGTTGACAATTTGAAAGCCACCAAGGGTTTCATATAGTCACGTTCACAAAAGCAGTGATGACATGTAGAATTCAAGGTTATCTCAGTTATGCGTCCTTAATCAGTTCTAGCTAACCTATTTGAGATTGAAGTTTAAGGGGCGGTATGAACAAATGCTTTTTATTTCAGGAATTTTGTGCAGGTTTGCGATTTTATCTCGCTCAAATACCGTTCTCTCCAAAATACAACCATTGGTTTTGGAGCTCAGCAAAGTATCTGAACGTGATCAGTGTGATTCATGGATCT